ATTTAAAAATAGTTTTTAAAAGAGTTTCTATTAAATTCTAACACAAATTACCTAAACTTTATCACTAATTAATTAGGTTTTTATAAAAATAATTTCTATAAAACTCTAAAAATTACCTAATAAAATCAATCACAGTAAAATATTTATTAATTGATATAAAAAGAATAGTTATTTTTTATAAATAATTATCACAATATAACCAGCCTGACCCAATTATGATTATGTCATTATTAGGAGAGGACCTATGTCATCATACTATTAATCCAAGAGGTCTATAAATAGAGATATGGAGGAAGGAAGAATTGTACAAAAAATTGAGAATTATAGAAATTCAAAATTTCAGAGGGAAATTCAGAGAAGCATTGCGAAAGAGTTTCAGTATTTATTTATTTATATAAAAAAATATTTATTAATTGATAGAAAAAGAGTTTTTATCTATACTATTATTAAATGTACAAAGAGTTTCAATATTTATTTATTAAATGTGCAAAGAGTTTAAGTATCTATACTTATCTTTTTATTATGAGTTTTTTAATAAAATAAAATATAATTAGACAAGAATGTATTTAAACAAAATAAAATAATTTCTGTAAAACTCTATCACAAATTAACTATTTTATTTTCTATAAAACTCTATTACATATAACTTGTATTTCTCTATTTATTATGAATATTTTTACAGAAAATAAAATAATTTTTATAAAACTCTACCCCAAATTATCTACTTTATCAATTTCAAAATATTTCAGTATTTATTTATTTATCAATTTCAAAATATTTCAATATTTATTTATTAGTATAAAAAAAATATTTATTAATTAATATAAAAAGAGTTACAATTTTTTTATAAGATTTATTGTTACAGGCTTAAAAAAATATATATGGAAACAAAAGTTGTTAAGCATTTAGCACGTGTATAGTAAGTGCCTTTTTCTAATGGGTGTGTATATATATATGTAAAACTTTCAAACGGGAAGTCTTGACAAAAAATAAAAAAAGAGATAAATATCACCAAATAAAATTTGTTATATTTTTATTTTTGGATATATATATATATATAACACTTTCAAATGGGAGACTTGTAGCCCACCTTATTCTATATCTATGTCATTTAGCCATTTAGGATTGGGAATGGGCCGAATAATTTTTAAATCGCAGCATATGAGAAGAGAGATGGCTAATTGGAGTAGTTTTGGCGATCGAGTGCTGCATTGCCGCCGGTCCATGCTAAAAAGAATATGCTGCAATCGCTCCAATCCGGCCGCCGGATTTCACCACTCCACATATGGTGGTGGTGTTGGTAGTGGTGGTGTTGGTAGTGGTGGTTTGGTCTCTCCCATCCGATCAGTCAGTGTCTTGCAAAAAGTTCCAACCTTTTCGTTGATCCAACAATATTATTTTTCTTCTTCTTCTTTTTATTTCTCCTCTGGTGTAGCAGCAGTTGACAAAGAGGAGGCAGGAGGAGGATCCCTTCTTCAATCAGGACCGTGGCTGATGCTCCCTGCTGTACCTGGGCCTGTTGCCAGAAAAGGACGAGGGAACGGGGTGTTACCCGACGATGAGTTGGATTACCACCAGTACTTCTTAAACTTTAATTTATAGAGAACAAACTGGTGAAGATGAAGACGAATCTTATGCTTCCATGGCAGAGGGAACTACTTCCCTCCCATGAGGCCATCTGCTTCGGTTCGTCTCGTGGCTGGCTCGCCTTTATCCACCCTCGCAATTGCTCTCTCTATCTTTTCAACCCTTTCATCCACTCTTATCTCCCTTACCTCCCAGCTCCCACCTATCCATACCCTACCTTGTATCATCTCAAGCAGACGTTATCCCAGTCATCATCCTAATGACCACTCTAATGACGACACACAGTTTTCATCACCATCCATTATTACAGAATTCACCATTTGGAATCACTTCTCACCATTATCTTCTCAAGATCTCGGTCAGACGCATTTCTTTAAGAAGATTGCTTTATCCTCATCCCCGTCCCCGTCCCCGTCCCCATTCCCGTCCAATCATCATCATCTCCATCTTCATGAAAACATCACTTGGTCTTCTGATCATTGCACTGTGATGGTCATTCATGGTTACCAGAAAAGTAAACTCGCCTTCTGCAGAATTGGGGACACAGCATGGACGGCCTTAGATGGAGCAGCTGAATCTTACGAAGATCTCATGTATTTCAGCAAGGACCAAAAATTTTATGCCTTGCCCACCTCTCATGATTTTGTAGAAGCTTGGGATCTCGGCAACCCTGCCTCTCCAAAGAATAATATCATCATTTCTCATTTGCCTCCTCGGAAACAACCCACCACAATGTATGGTCCGGCTCTCCTGTATCAGTATTTAGTGGAGTCTTTGGGGGAGTTGTTGATACTTGTTAGGTACTACGATTATCCAAATAATGATCGTCATGAAGACATGGAGACCATTTTCTTTTATGTGTATAAGCTATACTTTGTTAGAAAGGAGTGGGTACTCTTGCCAAGCTTAGGCGACAGGGCATTGTTTATTGGTCTTAATGAGTCTATCTCTGTCTCTGCCTGTGATTTCCCCGGGTTGAAGAAGAATTGTATTTACTTCACTTCTCCTGCTACTCGATTCAATGAAGAAACTCATGATTTGGGTTTTTTCAATTTGGAAGATAACAGCATTACTCCAATTAATGGAGTAATTCATAGGTGGTACTTGAAGACGAGTCTTCGTTCGCTTTGGATTGTCCCGGCTCAGCAATAAGCACATTGACAACTTAAATGTGTTTGTCCTAGTGCATGGTTGCAAAATTCATGTCCATACATCAGCAGAAACAGGTCATGCTCATTTGACATTCCTTCAACATTAGTTTGCAAGAATTTTTTATCATCATGTAAGTAATTTGCAATCAAAAGAACAAATTAATTATCATCTCCATCGTCAAGGTGACTGTGCACCTGGTATTATATTATGAACGAGAAAACCCCTCCTTACAGTCTATTTGTCATATTATTGGATCATGCGGATCAATTTTTTTTTTTTGTTGGATTATATTCGATCACTATATTTGCCTATTTTGTATCCTTCCAAATCCATTTGTTCTCTTCCTTTTCCTTCCAAAATATTATACAAAACACAATATACCATTTTCATCCAATCATTTCGGTCTCTTTTTCTCCCATTTCTCTCCAACCAAACTGGACTAAAACAAAATCCTAGTAATGTAGGATAAATTAGGGCTAGGACTTGTGAGGGACAAATCATTTTGCAAATTGACAGAAACAGAGTGATGGATAATTGGAGGAGTTTTGGCAATTCCGGTTGTAGGTACTTGATATTCAGGTGGGTTCAAAATCATAGTAATAAAGTAACAAATGGCGAGGTATATCTTGCAACATGATGGAATTCGAGGTAGATTGAGAGAAATGGAACTCAGGCAAACCAGATAGAGAGAGAAAGAGGATGATAGTGTATAAAAACACCATTGACTCTCTTGATAAAAATGTAAAGTGTGAAATAATCTGGATCTGACAGAGAACCAAAGCTCTTCCCATGTGGGAGGTCATTTTCTCCTTTTTGTAATGACTGTCTCACATGGGGAGAGCTTTGGTCACTGAGTTCACTCTTTGAAATATGCTCTCACCCATATGCCTCGAGAACTGACTGAGGAGCCTTTTTTTAAGAAGATTGTTTTATCCTCAGCACCATCCCCATACCCATCCAATCATCATCACGAAAACATCAATCCTAATTCAGTTTAAAAAATTAGTTTCTTTCTTGGAAATGTTTTTAGTTTCTTTGTTTATTGGTGTTTTATTGTTTTTATTGGAAATGTTTTGTTTGTTCCATGAGGTTGTGATTTAAGGTTAATTATAGTGAATAACATATTGTTTTGATTTTTTCATCAAATATGAAAATAAACCTCAGATTGTGACCAAAACGTGATGGGCAATGAGATTATTTAGAATATAATTCAGATGACAAAGGGACGGCTTATTATCGTCTACAATGAATCACATAGACTTGCTTGAACTGCATTGCTCAGCCTGAAATTAATCAGCTTGTTAATGAAGTAGTTAATAGTTGGATATCTCGAATAAAAATAACTATGAGTGTTGTTAATCACTTTATATATATTATATATATATATTTGGCCTTTCATCTCTTCATCTTTAGCAATTGGTTCACAGTGTTTCTCATCCATATTATAGGCCGGTTCGCCATTAAAACTATAGATGAGAAGCTAATTGTAAAGCTAGGAAATTATGTTATCATTATTTTTACCCAGACTAGTTTGTGAATGACAATGATATGTTTTGTTCGTAAAATGGTAAATTTATTTTAAAATAATTTTCACCAATTTCAAGGTTGCAATCAAGTTGAATTGATTTGGTGGTTAGAACTCGCCTTAGACAGGTGTACGTCTTTCTTCTTTGGACCAAGAAAGCTATGACAAGCCACACCATCTTCTTTTTATCAATCTAATCAAAGACTGATTATTCACCAAACTTTATTATACCATAATGTGCTTTTGCATTATTTGCATAATATTTCATAATACGTGACTCGCTCACTCATTCCTGAGCCAAGCCCTCGTGAATTAAACCAAATTTATTAAACAGAATTGAAAACCAAGAGCAAAGTCCTCGTGCCTTAAAGACCAAATTTATTAAACAGACTCTTGTGTATAATATACGATTTTAGCACAAAAAAATATAATTATTTTATAAAAAAGTTAATATATTTTTTCTTTTTATTCACATTTTATATCTAATTTGTAAGGATATATGCATGTGTAATATATAAGTTTGATATACATGGAAGATTTATAATTTTGTAAGGATATATACGTGTAGTAATGATATACATGGAAGATTTATTTATTATAATTATTTTTACTATTATTATTATTATTTTTTTTTTTTGAGAAAAGTAAGGCTTGACGGTAATTTTTTTTATTTTAAAAAAATTATATAAAAATAGGATTTTTTTTTTTTTAAAGTATTTATTTCAGATAACAAATGAAACAGATAATTTCAGAAAAGAAAGACGAGAGCAGACAAGTAGAAAAGCTTCTTTGGCTTTAATAATGGATGCTGTATCATGACACGTTCAAGCAGTGTGTCGACAACCAAAGAGGGCTAAAGATGGCGACTTGGAGACTGAGATCACTACTATCTATATCCAAATGCAAATCCAGATTCATCTACCTCCCATCATCTTCAATCCGTAGATTATCTTCATCTAACGTTCCATCTCTATTTGAAGTAAGCTTTTCTTGGTCTTCTTATTGTTCTTTGTTTTGATCACTGGAGTGTATATGAACCGATATTATTTTAACTAATAAATTTTGATGATCTGGGTTCTCAAAATCCAGATGACGAAACCCTGTTTTCCAAATTTCAAATGGTTTCTGAAAACTGTGACTTACTTCTATTTTTTCCTGTCGTAGAAGTGATCCAAATCCCCAATTCCCTAATGGGTATGTGAGGAAACTGATGGGGCTGTATCTATCTTCTATTTTTTTTTTCTTTCCTCCTTAGTTTGATTTGATTTGATTTGATTTTTTATTTTGTTTTTGAATGAATCAGACTTTATAAATTAGTTGAAGTTGTTGGAATTGGGTGCTCTTCTTTTGTGGGTGTTCTCATTTAGGCACATTCATACTCATTATGTTGATACTTATCATTCCATTGGTGTATTGCAGAATGTCGGATTCGTAGGGCTAGGAAATATGGGATCGCGAATGGCTAATAATTTGATTAAGGCAGGATACAGAGTTGCTATTCATGACGTGTAATGTACTTTACTCTTTTTTCTTGCAGTGATAGCACATACATCTTCTTAGTAATAGTTTTGTTGCATTTAATTATTTTGCTATTTGTGCTATGTGAATATATAATATATTAGAAACATGAGCCCATGTTCATTTAATTATTTTGCTGTTTGTGCTATGTGAATATATAATATATTAGAAATATGAGCCCATGTTCAAGCCAATATTAAAAGTAGATGATGGTATATGTGGAGGGAATTGGGCATGTATTTTGTTTCACTGAAAGTCCTTTTTTTTTATAATATTAATTTGTTTCTTTTTACCTTGGCAAGTAACTCATACACCCACTTTTGACTTGAACCTCAACTTTCCACTTAAGAAGGTAGAGGAGATAGTAGATGCCACTAGGGTACACTCCTCGGTAGTAATATTAATTTGTTTTATCTTGTTTATTAAAATTTCCCTTGTGCTTTTCTGTCTTAAGTATGAGTCTCATCTTTGTTTTCCCCCCTTCCTCTCAGAAACCATAATGTTATGGAGATGTTCTCAGACAAGGGAATTACAACAAAAGAATCACCTTTTGAAGTTGCAGAAATAAGTGATGTGGTAATCACAATGTTACCTTCATCAAGCCATGTGAGTTTGAGATTCAATTGCTGTTTTTCTCTTTGTAAATTAGGCATATTCCCTTATATCCAAACCTTTTGAGTTGAGATAGTAAGAAAAGATGTGATAGGGTGTGGCTTAACTGTCATTATGGCCTTAAATAGAGCAGAATGGCAACATACGATTCATATGGCCGAACCTAGTTAGTTAAAATGAGTTTTTGTTGATTTTGGTTGAGTTGTGCCAAATTCCAGAAATAAAATACACTTGCTCTTATTTGGTTTCTTCTTTAGGTCTGACATCTCCATAGTCTCCGCTGCAATGTGCTTGCATCGCAAATTCAAGATGTTGATAAAAACAGTTGGTTGTAATGGATTTTCAAATTTTGGCTCAAGCTAGTGTTGCCCTTAGGGTATTTTTGAAACTGCTTTTGTGATGTCTGCTTTCACGCCGGCTTAATTACAGTAAGCTGGTACTAGATCTCTCGGATGATTCGAATATGTCTTAACCTTATATATTTGGGTTAATTTCACCGACACCTCCTTAGGTATGACCAAATATCACATTGAAATACCTTTCGAAAATTACTATCACTCACACCCCAAAACATTTTTCCATCACTGACACCGTCAAAATGGGTGTGAAATGACACCCCCTTAGACATTCTTACCCTCATTTTTATAATGCCTTTTAATCTAAAACAACCCTATCTCCAAAGCTTGAGTTCTGTAGTGCTATATATATCTATGTGTTTACTACTGTGTATTTATATATATATATATTAGGAATTAGTGTGTGTATATTTTTTGGGATAGAAATATATGAAGAATTAGTGTGTGTGTATATTTTTTGGGATAGAAATATATGAAGAATTAGTGTGTGTGTGTGTGTGTGTATATATATATGAAGAATTAGTGTGTGTATACCCAAGAAAAAAAAAATTAGTGTGTATATGAAGATTTTTTGTGTGTGAATAATTAAGTGATCTATTTTTTGGGTTTTATTTGTCTATTTTTTGGATTTTATATATCTATTTTTTGAATTTTGTTCAATTACTTGTAAAATTACACACACACACACGCATATTCCAATGGGTATATTGGTCGCTTAACATGGGTCCAATGGGGTAGAAATGTCATTCAACACATCAAATAGTAAGTCAACAAAAGTCAAAGGGGTAACAATATCTTTTTACATATAGAGAGTGGTCTGAGTTGTCTGACACATCTGAAAAGTAACTTTTGGGGTGTGAGTGAAAAACGGGCCAAACGTAATGTGAGTGATAGTAATTTTCGAAAGGTGTTTCAATGTAATATTTGGCCAAACCTGAGGGGGTGTCAGTGTAATTAACCCTATATATTTCCTCATTATTCTTGCTTATAAAATTTCCTTTTTCCTTTATATTTTTTGCTTTTCCTCCGGTCTTTCAATAGATGCCAATATGAACCCTTTTTTCCCCTTCTTTGTGTATGTGTGTGTGTAGGTATTGGATGTTTACAGCGGACCAAACGGTTTTCTCCGTGGTGGGAATCTGCTAAGACCATGGTTATTTATAGATTCATCCACAGTTGATCCTCAAACATCAAGAAAGCTTTCTGCTGCTGTATCTAGGTGTACTTTAAGAGAAAAGAAAGGTAAAACTAAGAAGCAAAATGGCTGTTAACTTATTATTTTTACTTAATGGATATTAATTCATGTGTATTGTTAATATTCTTATGACTAAATTGTTGACTTTTCACGAGTCTTAATGTGTTTACATGAGTTCTGTTTCAGTGGGATCTGATAAAAACGACAAGGTGTCAAATTAATTGGAGGGCTTGTTCCACTTTCCTGAAGTATAGAAGCCTTGCAATTTTATTGACTTTTGAGGGAAATATTTCAAAATTTCGTACCATGCATAAAACTTTCCCTTTCACATGGAATATTATTTCTCTCGAACAGGCTAACCATATGAGTTTTTTTCGCAAGTTGCTTGGATGTACTTGCTAGTTGCTACATGAAGCTAAACTTGATACTGCATAAGATGAGAAAAGCAAAAAAAACAAAATTGAAGGAAAAGATAAAAGAGAGATTAAAAAGATTTAGAGGAACGAGGATGGAGCAAACTTTGGCTCAGTGGGGGCATATGCCCTCACTCAATTTCTTTTTAATGTAATTTTGTCTAATTAAGTATTTCAAAATTGCCCCTTAAATATTTCAAAAATGTCTTTAATCTTTATCTAATTGTTGTTTTGAGCCTCCAACTTAAAATATAATAAAAATCCTAAAATCATTTCAGTTCATTCATTTAAACTCAAATCCATGACCTGAAAATCCAATATTAACCCTCAAATAACATAAATTCGGGCTATTTTTCACAGATGCTAGTGAAATAGTTGTGACTATTTGTGGATTTGTATACGCGGATGCATATTTTCATTTTGATGAATCAAATGGTCCCCCATTAGAGTAAAATTCTGACTTCCTCACTAAGAATGAAGAACTAAATTAAAATATTCTAATTTGACATTAAATGGTGGTTACTATTTGAAGAGGATAAATGAAAGTATGTATGTTTTCCTGTTACAGTTACCCCAAAAATTACATGGATGACCATACTGCCCCTGTTCAACGGTAACTGATAGAGTATTAACAATATGGCGTAACAAGTTTCATATGCTCTATAGCGTTAACAAAAGCATATACCTTATATGCTTTGATTTTACTAGAGAAGGAAACAAAATTTCATAATTTTGGAACTCTGTTGAAGTTTTAGAACCTCTCGTTGAGGCTTTCACCAACACACACATAAACACATCATTGCCATACATGTGGCCACTGTTACAAAACTCCGTCACTTAGGTTGTGGCGATCAATAAAGGGCACTGGTCCAATTTAAAATGATCTAGAAGTCAGTTGTAGATGGTTAATCCTACATATCAGGCATTATATGTGGCCCTTCTACTTGCTTTGAAGGTGTTATTTAAATATTGTGCTTAGAATTAGCAATGAGTGGACAACATTTTGTTGTGTATGGGTGAGATTACCATGCATGATCCTCTCAAGGTGCAGATATAATTTTATTGTGATTATGCAATGACAACTAGGATATGTTGCAAACTTCTAAATTCTTAGCATCTTAACAAACAATCATGTTTTATGTAGATTGCTGGGAGACGCCTGCCATGTTGGATGCCCCTGTATCTGGAGGTGTTCTTGCTGCAGAGGCTGGAACACTTACTTTCATGGTATAAGTTTACTTTTGACCTGATAACTAAATAAATTAAGTATTGCTGATGTGATTATGATCTTTTGGGTGTGAAAGGAATATGCATTTCTATCTCCTTCTTTGTGTGTGTATGTGTTTTAAACTTGTTCTCTACCTATTTTAAAACTTCTTTACTTATAAATATAGTTTGTGTTGTTATTTTTCATACATTTTGTAGGAACTTACCATCCTTGATCCAATCCTAAAGTCTGATCTTATGGACCCTATAATTGATCCATGCAGGACCTGATCCTAATAACCCTGGTGCACCTCCTTGATAATTATATGTCTGCATGAATGGCCCATTCATGAAGGCCTTGCACCAGAAGTGTTCTTATCCTTTCTAACAGCTTAAATTTAATTATTTTAAGGTACTTGGTTGCTAACCTTGACATTTACCATTATTGAACAGTAAATGCTGTCATCATATGTCACATAATTTATCTTTTTTCTTCTTTTTTTTTTTAATTAATCATTTAGGTATCTACTTTAAATGTAAAGAATCCAGTAGTTGATACATGCTCGCCCATGTGTTCATGCACCCACGCAGAGTCCAAATTGGTTGTGTGGCGTAGGTTCCATGTAAAATTTTATATTACAAAACATAGCGTAAAAACACAATGCGTCAAACTTGTTTACATTATCTAATCTATTTAGACTTGTAAATATGTGGAATTGACTCCAAATTTTCATATCTACGCATACATTCAAGAAAAAAATTGAGAATTCAGAAGTCAACTTTAAGACACTCCAATTATGCAGTTTAATTCACAAAACTGTCAGTCTCAAAGTTACAGTGTCCTTCATATTGATATTCTTTTCAGAGGACCCGCATTAGATCAAACAATATTTTATTTTTGGACCATCAAGAGTTATAGTATAAAAAGAAATGTGTTGGTGGAAACTGGGGAATTTAAATGTGTCTTTTTGTCTTGATTTCGGCCAGTCATGCAGACATATTAAATTCAAAACCATGGCTTCAGTTGATTAAATTAAGCTTGTGACTGCAAAAGCTGCATATTGCATCTCATAAAAGTTTACTCATTTACTCATCAATCAACTAGCCTTCTCTATATTACACTAAGCCTAAGATCACTACCATATGGCCTTGTAAAGGTGTTACTTACATAAACCAAAAATTGTCAATGGGAGGTTCAAAGCTGTCTAGCCCTAACCTGACCCATCTGTTATTGGGTTCGGATTAAATTCTGTGAATGCTATTAGATCCTAATTGCATGATACGAAACTTGTCCATCAATCATAACTTTTTTCTTGCATTGGCACCATTTTTTCTTGCAACGGACCTAACGGTTCATCATTAATAGGCAAGTTATGTGCTCTGGTTTGCATGATTTCAGGTATAGTGCATTATAAAGGTTGTTTGATAAATCATAACAATGAATTGGTGTATGGATGGCTTTAGAGGAAAAATTACTTCTATGTTATGTTATTATTTTTGTTGCTTTGAACTAATAAACAAGAGATGGTGTGTCATCCAGGTTGGTGGCTCAGAGGAAGCTTATCAGGCTTCGAAACCCCTATTCCTTGCAATGGGCAAAAACACAATTTATTGTGGTGGAGCTGGAAATGGTTCAGTATGTTCTTTTACATTCTTCTAACTTTGCTATTTTATATTGTGGGGTATTTTGTGTTTAAATAATTCTATAGATTAGTCTTGTTTAATGCTTATAGAGCAATATGTTGCATTTCTCCTCCTAAATGTTGATAAAATGCTGACATTTCCATTTGGAACAGCTGGAGAAAAAGAACACAAATGTAGATGTTGATAGATGTTCATGATGCTACATTTTATACAATAATCAATATGATTCATATATAACATAAATCAGAACTCGGGATTTATACTGCTCTGTGGAGGGATTAATTGGTTAGATTGGGAAGAAGGAAAGGTGTCCTGGATTTTTAAGAAGGGATCGAGATATCTTTGTGTTATCATTACTAATTCCACGGGTTTGTCTTGGTTATTATTTGGTTATTTCTCCTTCAGTCACTCTTGCGATCTGAGTGCTTCATGTAAATGAGCCACAGATAACTGAACTCAAATGAATCTAACCTATAAATTTCAGCTAAACCTGACAATAGAAATACCTTAAATTAATTATATTTGGATCTTTATCTTACGTGCTAAGAAGCACGGACACGGATACAAGACACGGATACGACACGACACGGACACGGCGACACGGCAAATCCAAAAAAATTAGGACACGGACACGGCGAATAGTGTATATATATATATATATATATATATCAGCATTAATAATTTTAAAAAAAAAACACTGATATGTTTAGGTTGGAATATATATATATGTATCACTGATATGTTAGTATATATATATATATATCAGCATCTTTAGGACACGGACACGGAGAATTGTGGCATCTTTAGGTTAGTATATATATATATATCAGCATCTTTAGGGTAGTACAAAACAAAAAATAGAACATATCAGCATTAAAAATTTTTTTTTTTTTAAAAAAATTAACATATCAGCATTAAAAATTTAAAAAAAAAAAAAAAAAAAATTCCAGAAAAGTGTGTCCGAGCCTTGTCTGAGCCGTGTCCGAGCCGTGTCCGAGCTGTCTGAGCCGTGTCCGTGCCGTGTCCGAGCTGTGTCCGAAAATTAAAAAAAATAAAAAAATTCCAGACACGTTTTTTGGCGTGTCCGACACGTGTCGGGGCGTGTCCGACGTGTCCGTGCCCGACACGTGTCGGACCGGATTCTTCGCCCATTTTGGAGTGTCCGTGCTTCCTAGCTTACGTGATAGTTACCTATTCACGGTTCTTAAAACAAATATAAATAAATTCTCTCAAAATATAGTAGATAGATATTCTAATTAAATTTTATAGATTGGAAAAGGAATAGTTGCAAAGAAATGATATAATGTGCTTTTAAACTCCTTTATGGAGATTTTTTCCCTTCTAATCATCATATAGCATATATATTATTTTGCGTGTATATGATTCCTAGGTGCATTTGTATTAATACTTCTTTTGTCCATCATCAAAATTTTGCTTAATATTTGGCCTATCATATTCTAAGTTTGTTGAATAGACTTGCGTGACTTTGTTATTTAGGCAGCAAAGATATGCAACAATTTGGCGATGGCTGTTAACATGCTTGGGGTGTCAGAAGCCTTTGCTCTTGGACAGTCTTTGGGAATTGCAGCCGGTACCCTAGCAAAGATATTCAATTCTTCAAGTGCTCGCTCTTGGAGTAGGTATTTAGTCCTATATTGGTATCTTACTGAAATTAACAACTCCATTTTAAACAAGGATAGCTTCCTAAGAATAGCAGTAAAAGGAAGGGTCTGCCTCTGCGACTGCCTGTAGAATCCCAATCTTAAGAACCATCTTAAGAATTTAAAAGTTGAATGGTTAAGCGGCTATTTTTAAACAATTCAAAATAAATTTTTGATGAATCAAAAGTTTATATAAGTATTAAGTAATAACATCTTCCCTGATTAAAAACTGCAAAGCATTAATACCTATTTTTGAACCTTGATTGGGTGACTTATTTCTTCTGAATGTAGAGAGTATATTAAATGAAAGAAAAACTACATCATAATCCATTTCTCCGTTGAATATTATGTTTGACAGAACTTTTTTTTTTTTTGATCAGTAATATTTGGCAGAACCTGGAAAAAGGAACAGGGAAAATTTAGAAAGAATCTAAAATGAGAATGAAAATGAAAACTTTTTTTTGTACTACAAACTCCTTCAGCTTTTAATTATAACACTACGAAAGTGATTAGTAGACATGTGAAGTCCTAATGATGCTTGTTTTGCTGCGTGTGCTGAGTAATTAATTACATTCAATTCCATATGTACCACCGCTTTACTTCTTAGTTTTGAATTTTGTAGTTCCCTAGGAGATCATTTGTCAGCAGATTCAAATGGCTCAAAGATGTAATGAACACTGTATGAAATTAAAAAAAGATGCACGTGCCCCTGTTTTCTCCTTTAGGACAACCATATACTGAACCGAACTCAAGAAAGCCTTTTTCCAACCATTTGGAAACTAGAGTTGGCTATATGAATCTCGTTTCATCATACTGCTCTATGTAGGGCCACAACATCACTCAAACTGCATGCTATTACCTTGGACAAACATATAGCAACATCACTCAAACCACATGCTATTACCTTGGACAAACATATAGAATACACACACACACATATTATATTTTGCAAAGTTACCTTCCTCCTTGAATGATTCATGTTGTTTCAATAACCATATATTGCCATATTGAGTTTTTACCTTTCATGTTGAGAGCATGGACCTGATCATCTTGCACTGATTTAACAAGGATCTTTCTTAGTAAAAACGTAAAGGAAATCATCCCTTTTTCAATTAAACAAACTCAATTAACAAAGTAGTAAAATGGTTTTGCAAAGGGATATAATCTCAGCGGTTGTCTGGAACTTCAACAATATAGAATCTAAAAATGTTTGTTAATATTTGCTAGTTTTTTATTTCTTTCTTTTCTTTTCCTTTCTTTTTTTTTTTTTGCCCGAAGGTAAAAATTTATTTACGTGTATCATAGGTTTACTGTCCAATTTTTTGTTAGATGTTTGCTTTTTGGAAAATTTCCGTTGTTCCTAATGGCAAGGTGATACACAATATACACAACAGTGATACTTACAATCCAGTGCCTGGAGTGATGGATGGAGTGCCCTCTTCCAGGAATTATGATGGTGGGTTTGCATCTAAACTCATGGTATGTGGTCTAATCTGTTGTGATATAATATTTTTCTGCTAATATTCTTTGACATAATGGACATATGGTGCTCTGCAAAAACTTTTGAGCTTCCTCCCAATGATTAACCAGGTGTTCAGGATTCAATCAGTGTCAATCTGCCAGGTTGTTGATCATATAGCCATGGGAAAATATATTCAAAGTTATTTAGTAGCGTTAAGAATATAGATCCATTCCAACCAATAATAATTTGAATATAAGTTGTCTTTCGGCCCTTAGCAAATTACCCATATGGTGATAAGGATTGCTGATCATAATGTTTAGCTGCAGCCATAAAATACCAAGCATAAATTTTGTCATAATATTTTGCAGTGTGAATCCTGAATGCTTTTGATGGTAAGTTTGTTATCCTTGCTGTGCCCTGATGTGCCATAAATCCCATGTCCCTCTCCTCCTTTTACCCATCACTACCTTGATTTCCTCCTTTGTTTTTCATGCCGTCATAAACATCTTTAGAAATCCCATTATCAGCACGGATGGTCCTTTTGGTTTGGGCTGTGGCGGAGTGGTTGGGCAGGATGCTTAGCATGAATTAGTTGGGCCTGTTTGTTCTGGTATTCAAGTGGCTAACCGATTTGGACCACTTTTTGCATCCTTGGATGATCCATCGGCCCAACCGTTTGCTCCATCTCTTGCCACAGTTGGTTGGCAAGCTAGGAAGCCACTGCAGGGTCATCGATTGAAGTCTAAGAAGCGGTTTCTTCTCCCTTACTTTCGACGAAGATGGACTCGGAAAGAAAAACAGAAGTGGGTTCCTTGTGCCGGTCTTGATCCGGTTAAGTCTGGTTCTAATTATTGTTTCTCTTCTTTGGCTTCTTCATCCGCTCCCCTTTCTCCTTCTTCGGTGGTGGTGAGAAAGTCCTCGGACAGGTTGATTTTTGTATCCAAAAACCTTTCGTCGGCCTTTGAGGATGGGTTGGTGAATTGGGTGGTGGGGGGTTGATTTGCATGGGGGCTGTAAGGTTGATGGGTTTTGCCACTCTCGTTCTGTTGAGTGTAAGGGTGAGAGTGTTACTGTTTATGTGGGACGTGATGTGAAGATTGCTCTGATTAATGATACTGCTGCAGTGCTTTTGAATGAGTTGCGGGCTCATCTTGCTTTCAAAGGTCTTCAAAATGAGCAGAATGGTCATTTGGCTGAAGAGGTGTTTGGGACTCCGCAGTCTTGCTATTCTCCTTCCTCGTCGGCTGTTGGGATTGGGGAGGATAAGTCGTGCTCCCTCTTTAATGAGGATCTGGGTATGGTTTTGTGGAACGGATGTGAGTTTGGTTTAGAGTTGATTACCCCTTTGGCTGTTGTTAGACCGAAAGGGGATTTAGTGGATGGGAATGGCTCTGTTGCAGGTGTGGCTGCATTGGAGGATGATTGGGTAAGGGAAAAGGGAGTTGAGGTGGGTTCCCTTTTGGGTGTCTCTTCTGAGGGTCGGATGGAGCGACAAGTTTATTTCTTGATATTCTCAATTCTCGGTTTGTTGAAAGAATTGGAAGTAGGGGGAGTGTCCCAGTGAGGAGGGAGGAGAGGGAGGTATCGAGCCCCACGACTTTTGTTACTTATGAAAGGAGTAGTAAGGGTCCAAGGAGAGGGCTAGTGGAAGGAGCGGAGAGACTGTTTTTTCTACTATTTCCCTATGAAGCTACAAATTCTTTCATGGAATGTCCGGGGTCTCAACGACCCGGCTAGAAGAAAAGTGATGAAATCGGTGATTCGGAAAGCGGGTGGGCATGTTGTGTGCCTGCAAGAAACTAAGATTGCCTCGATGACGGATGGGATTGTTCGAAGCTTGTGGGGAGGGAGATTTGTGGGGTGGTTTGCTTTGGATTCGATTGGCTCTTCGGGTGGTATCCTGATTATGTGGGATAACTGGTGGGTCTCTTTGTTGGATTCTTAGGTTGCTCTGGGAGGAGTTGGGGGAGATTCCTAGGAGATAGTCGTTGCCTTGGTGTATTGGTGGGGTTTTTAATGTTGTGCGTTCTCCTTTTGAGAGGTCGTCAGGGGGCAGGTGGACGGCCGACATGGTGTCCTTCTCAGAGTTCATTGATGCTTATGGTTTATTTGATTTGCCTTTGGTGGGTGGTCCGTACACTTGGTCCAGTGGTAGTTCTCCTCCTACTCTCTCTCGACTTGACAGATTCCTTTTGTCAAGTGATTGGGAGGAGAAGTTTTCTGATGTTGTTTAAGCCACTTTGGCTCGCCCTTTGTCTGACCTTGTTCTGTTGATGTTGGATTGTGGTGGGATGTGGAGCAGAAGGTCCCCTTTCAGATTTGAGAATATGTGGCTTCGGGCTGGGGGTTTTCTGGAGCGAGTTCGATCCTGGTGGGTGGGGTAAGGAGTGGTTGGTACTCCTAGTCATTCTCTCGCCGGAAAGCTGCGTCTTTTGAAGAATGATCTTAAAGTTTGGAACAAAGGGGTTTTCGGAAATCTGACTTGGAAGAAGAATCGGGATCTTTCTGAGATTGCTGATATCGATAGGATGGAGGGTCAGGGCCTTTTGCCGGTTCCCTTGAAGCTTAGGAGGGTGGAATGTCAGGCAGAGTTTGCTGAGATTGCTGTTATGGAGGAGATTTCGTGGAGGTCTGTGGCTCAAGGACGGCGACAATAATACAATTTTTTTTCATAGACTTGCAAATGCTCACAGAAGGGGCAATCACATTGGGAGGATTTGGGTGGATGGGGTGATGTTTTGCAAGGAGGAAGAGATTTGCAAGGGCTTTACTGATTACTTTTCGAGGTTCATTGAACCAGCTGGTTGGCGGCCTTTGCTTGCAGGGCTTCACTTTGACTCTATTTTGAGTGAAGAGTGCTCTATTCTGGAAGAGCCATTTTTGGAGGAGGAAGTTTTGTTTGCTTTGAAGAGTTGTAATAGGGATAAGGCCCCAGGTCTAGATGGTTTTTCTATGAGATTTCTTTTGGAGTGCTGGGAGGTGGTCCGTGAGGAGGTGATGGGCTCTTTTCACACCTTCTATGATCAGGGCTCTTTTGAGAAGAGTTTGAATGCCACTTTTATTGCTCTTATTCCGAAGAAGGGAAGGGCGATGGATGTTAGGGATTTTCGCCCTATCAGTTTAGTGGGTTGTTTTTATAAGTTGATTGCTAAAGTCTTGGCCACTAGGTTGAGAAAGGTTATGGATGGCATCATTTTTGACTCTAAGAATGCCTTTGTGGGAGGTCGTCAAATTTTGGATTCCGTTCTTATTGCAAGTGAACGTGTGGACTCCCCGTTTGAGTAGTGGGGTTCCGGGTGTTTTATGCAAACTGGATATTGAGAAGGCTTATAACCATGTGAGTTGGAGCTTCCTCCTCTACTTATTGGAGAGAATGGGGTCTGGTGGGCGTTGGAGGAGATGGATTCTTTTTTGTATTTTTAGTGCTCGTTTCTCTGTCTTTGTGAATGGAACCCCGACGGGTTTTTTCTCTTGTTTGAGGGGTTTGAGACAAGGTGATCTGCTTTCTCCCTTCTTGTTCCTTTTTGTGATGGAGGCTCTTAGCAAATTGTTGAAGAGGGCGGTGGAGTTGGAATTTTTGAGAGGTTTTCGGGTGGGTAGGGATGTTGCTAGTCAACTGAAGATATCCCACTTGATGTTTGCGAATGATACTTGAGTGCTTTGTGATGCAGATGCGTCCCAACTGAGATATTTGAGATGTGTCTTGATTTGGTTCCAAGTTGTCTCTAGGCTTAAGGTGAATATTGGTAAGAGTGTTCTTGTGCCTGTGGGGGATGTTCCTGAGATCGAGATGTTTGCTCAGATTTTTGGATGTCGCTCCGATTCTTTTCCCATTTCTTACTTAAGGTTGCCTTTGGGAGCCCCTTCGAGATGTATCATCTGGTTCGGTGGGATCATGTGTGCTATCCAATTTGGAGTGGAGGCTTAGGGATTAGGAGGTTATTGCCATTCAATAAGGCTCTCCTTGGTAAATGGCTTTGGAGGTTTGGGATTGAAAGGCATTGGCTTTGGAGGAGAGTTATTGCGAGTAAGTTTGGGGAGAGCAGTGGTGGGCGGTGCTCTCTTTAGGTGCGTGGTCCTAGGGGGGTGGGGGTTTGGTCTTTCATTTGGAGGGGGTGGGATGTTTTTTGCAAGCATGTTCGTTTTCGGATCAAGGATGGCAGGGGGATCAGATTTTGGGAGGATCTTTGATGTGGGGAGACTCCCCTTGCCCTCGCTTTTCCATGGCTTTATAGGATTGCTTCTCACAGACAGGCCATGGTGGTTGACTGTTATCACCTTGATAACGGGAGACTGACTTGGGATGTTCAGTTTAGGAGGCACTTTTAGGACTAGGAGATTAAAGACGTTACTCGTTTTTTTGGAGGTTCTGTATCGCCAGGTGATCACTGGTGGGGAATCGGATTGTTGGTTTTGGGTTCCTAACTCTCAGGGCCGTTTCAAGGTTAGGTCCTTTTTTAAGTGTCTTTTGGTCGGCGCCGGAGGCCCTTTGAAGTCTCGTTGGCGTTCTAAGGCTCCCCTTAAGGTAGCCTTCTTTGCTTGGACTTCCGTCCTGGGTAAGATTTTAATCCAGGATAATTTGAGGAGGAAGAATCAGGTGGTGATCAATCGATGTTATATGTGCTTGTGCGATGAGGAGACAATTGATCACCTTCTTTTGCATTGCAGCTTAGCCAGAGACTGTTGGGATTTGATGCTTGGTTTATTTGGTGTCTATTGGTTTATGCCTTGTTCCTCCAGAGGGTTGATTGAGGCTTAGAGAGGTGTCTCTGTTGGGGCTATCATGCAGGATGCCTGGAAGTCTATGTCTCTTTGTATTTGGTGGTGCATTTGGCTCGAGAGAAATCGGAGATACTTTGAGGGAAAAGAGAAACCTATTTCAATGCTTAAGTTCTATATCATTTCCACTCTCTTTTGTTGGGTCTCAGTGAGAGATTATAGATTTATTGAGGAGATTATTTATTTTTTTTGTCCTCTTTGAAGGTTTAAGGCGCCTTTTGGCCCTTGTGTTTGTTTGGGTTCCGCTCTTCCGTCGTGCATTTTCAATAAAATCTTACTTATAAAAAAAAAAAAAGAATATCATGCTATATTGTACTCTTTCTTCTTTTTTTTTTTCCTTTTTTTTTTTTTTTTTTCGAAAGTTGGAAAAAAAAAAAAAGAACAAGGGTACAATAAAACTTTTATTGTATGTTTACACTGCTGCTTGAGGGCAGGCTACAGCTTCTCATTGTTTTCGATCCTTTTCATGTATTGCTACAGGATTTGAGTCACTAACTTCAAAAAATCAATTAAAATGTTATGTCTTTTGTTACTAAAACGAACAGGTGATGCATAATAAATTAAGTGATTACCTACCCAACTTATTCCATTGAAGAGCTGCCTGATACACCAGGTAGCACAAAGATATGAAGAAATGTAAGCGATAATCTATTATGGGCCAAATAGTCTATTAAGATTGGTGTTTCCTGTTTTCTTTGTTGCACAAAGAATTGGTGTTTCCTCTTTTCCGATCCTCTTTCCTTTGTTGCACAACCAATCTCAGCTTAAAATTTGCTGCTCTGCTCTTTTTTCTGTAAGACATTGCAACCTTTTTTTTTCTTTTTTCCTAATTGGTACTCACACACACAAGTCTCTTCAGAGACTTGAACCCCTGACCTTCCTTTGGGAGGTAAGAGACCGATACCGTTAGGACACTGCAACCTTCATTCACAAATCATCCATCAATTAGACATCCTTTTACAGATTTTGTGCAATATTGCTCAGAGCTGTAATGTATAGTGGCAAAACGTGTGATTCCTGCTCGGTGTACCATCCTTGACTTTTATGCATGATATTGAGGTCCTTATCATGGCTTTTAAAATAGATGCTTATGCTCATTGTTTACTCAATACATTTTCTAATATTGATTTGTTGGAAGAATCCCCTGAAAATTATGTAGTAGGGCCTGTAGGATTCTAAAAATCTCATCGGTTTCTTTTTGATTGGAAACACGGCATCAACTCAACTTAAGGTTAGGTAGGTTTGGGACAATGTGCTTTTTGCATTGGACCATTTTTCTTTGGTGTTTGCATACCATCATTTACTTCACATTTGATTTTTTTGCCGTGATTAGTACGTAACTTGCTTGAGAATATAAGATTTGTTTACTTTAGTTCTTTGGTTTATTCTGATCATGAACATGCATAGTTATTTAATTATTTATTTTTTTAATTTTTAATTTTACGTATAATGCAGGTTAAGGATTTAAACCTCGCTGCAGCATCAGCAAAAGAGGTCGGTCTTCATTGCCCATTGACATCTCAAGCAGAAGAGATGTAAGTTATTTCGCCCCCATAACTAGTTCAAGTTCCTGTGGTGAGTTCATCAGTCAAATTGAACTTAAGATGGATGGTTTATAAAATTAGACTTAACATGGAAATAATAGCGGCCATACAAACCTAACTATTTTGGCTTAGTGTTTTCTACAGAGACCTCTCCGCTTGAGAAAGTCATAGTCACATCAAAGCTTCTTTCATCCTATTGTGTAACATCAAAATTAACCAGACATTTAATGCTTCAATATAATAGATTGAGGCTAGTAAAAAGCATTCAGTTCAAGATCTTCTATTCTTTTGAAGAATTTCTGATGCCAAATGATTTTCCCTTGACCATTTAAGCTTACTCAGTTTGGGTTGCAATGAAACTTGCCCCCATTATGCAACAAGAAAAGAGAGTTACTGGTAGAACAACATTTGTGGACATGAAAATGCTTATGAACATCATTTCTCTTTCCAGATTCACAGAGCTCTGTAACGACGGTCATGGAGCCAAGGACTTCTCTAGTGTTTTCCGCCATTACTACTCCGGAAAGGATGAACCGTAATTTATCGGGAACATCATTTTTTTATTGCTGGATAAATCTGGTGCTTCCCATTGTTACATCCATTTGTACTTTCCTTTTTGGAGGCTCCACTCGAGCATAATCCTCCGGAATGTTTAAATCATGCCTGCAGGACACTATGAATGCTGCTACAAATGCTCTTATTTTATTGCAATTTAATGTATTATTAAGTCAATGCCATGCATATATTCTTTCTAAGTAATTGCTGCAGGTTGCTCTATGCCACTCTGCTACCGAAAGGGTTGAAATACCAAATAAAATAAAAATAAAAATAAAACCCTTTTTATATATTTCTTTAACTTTTGATTGAAATTTTTGCTTTTGGCATGCATAGGCGTTCAGCATAAAGTGTGAGCTAACTATATTGCTATAGCGTAAAAGCTTCAGCTAACTATACTGCTTTAGGCTCCGTTTTCGTTTTACTGGATTTAAATTTTTTTTAGTGTTTGGTTGTGCTAAAATATTTACGAAGAAAAAAAAAACATTAAAATTTAACAAAAATGATTTATTCATCAATTTTCAACGAGTTATTTTGCATGTCTCGATAGATCCTCAACCTACACCTTTGACAAATACAGATAAAGTAAAAATAAAAAAATATTTTATTTGATAATAAAAAAAAAAAATTTAAATTTTTTTTTTAACAACCAGGTAAACGGTGTCTTAGGAAAATAAAAACTTGAGCTTCTTGTAGCTAGTAATATAACAATTGATAAAAATGAAGAGATTAATGTTCTTGGCCAATATATAATTATATATATATATATATATAGGTAGATAAGATCTTACAACCATATCATTTTTCAAGTTTGATATGCGATCAGTATGTCTAAATTTGTCACACCGTGACCGTTATTTCGGACCAGGCGTATGCAACCACTTGTCAAAGAAAATTAAAATATCACCTTTATTTGTTGGCATCACAAATTTTTGGCTCAACGCCATTGGTTTATAGTATCGTATTATCTCTTGTTAGGGTTCAAGTTCCTATTAAAAACAGAGGTAGGCATGTTTAGACTACACCGCCTTTGGTCGAACTAAAGTAGGCTTGTGAATTGTTTCAAAACGTGATTTGATTGATTTTAAGTAATAATATTTACCAATGATTTTAAAATAATAATAATAAATGAATCTTGAATTCACAACTATTTTTCATTTATTGTATTATGGATAACTGAGTATCATACTTTATTATAAATGACAACTATCAAAATGTACCTACTACTAATATCAGGCACCTGATTTTTTTTATTTACATAATTACATATAGATTTTGTGAAAATCTTAAAAATATCTATATTTTTTTTTAATAAAAATTTTAAATATGTCCCCACTTAATTACTAATGATACCTTATCATACATTATTATTGTTCAAAGCCACTCTCCCTCGTGCAAATCTCTAAAACAATGTTTCGTGAAAATTTAAACAATATCTCTTTTAAGAATCTACAATAAATGTATAGATTTCTCATGTCTCATTTTGTTAAAAAAAAATAAAAAATACTAATTTTTGTATTTTAATTATTACTAATATTGTAAATCTCCTAATATAAAAGAAATAAGTTGAATTATATCTTAAACACATTTTTTAATGCTTATGAATATTATATTTCTATTATTCTACAAAATATATAATGGATTTGAACATATGTATAATTATTAAAATCGTTTTATACACACAATAGTATATAAGTACTTTCAGATCCTCAACTCCAATCAAATTTAAATTTTGTTTCACTCTCGAATATACTTTACTTCCGCTCCCATTGTATAACTTCGATTAAATTAATTAGTGTCAAAACAATGACACTACTGTCAAAAACCTTATAAGCACTGACATATGAATTACATTAAATTACTTTACCTAGCAAAATTAAAATAAATAAATAAATCACCAAAAATACAATAAAAAAAAAATTGCTTCGAAGAGATTCCTCTCCTATGAAGAGTCGGAAACTCTTTTTTTTTTTAACTTAAATATATTAAATAATTTATTTAACTTTCCATACATTTAAAAAAAATTATTTCATTCAATAATTAAATACAAAAAGGTAAGTGGACAACCTTTGTTCACCGTCAACAAGACTTTTGACTATCCGAACTGCTTTGACTGTAACCGATGGTCCTAGTTCAATAGATTTACATATACAAAAGGTAGTAACTTTTCCCTCTGCTCTCTCTCCTGAAACTCTTAAACCGAAACAAGCAAGTGTATATATATATATATATATATATATATGAAACTTTCGTTCTCTCTCTATAACAAACGATCCCTTTGGCGACAAGGAAAGTACAGTTCGTGAAGAATATTGTTGTACAACTGACAGTCTCTCTTTTCTGTTCCAAAAAAAAAAAAAAAAAGGAACCGTCAAAACCCTTTATCCTTTGTTCCAATACCCACTACTCTCTCTCTCTATCTTTCTCTCTCTCTCTCTAAGCCATTGTCCATGTAGAGAGGTATCATTCACTTCCCTGATTATCAACCCATTTTTTTTTTGTAATTTTTTAATTTTTTTAATATATTTTCAGTTTCCTTTCCTTTTTCTTTGTGTTCTTGAACTCGTTTTCCAATTTCGCAGCCTTTATTTCTACGAATTACTTTACGCTCTATTTGCTTTTGTTTGTTTCTATTACGATTAATGCGCTATTGTGTTGTATTTTTGGCTAATTTAACTCAAATTGATAATTTCATCACTCGATCAATAATAATCAATACAAAGTTTCGATTTTTATATAATAATTAGTACAAAGTTCTGATTTTTTTTCATATGTTATATATATGTATGTGTATATATATTCTGGAACTTCTAGGCATTTTGTCAGAATTTTGGGGTTTAGGGCTTTGTGAATTTCCCATACATTGTATATCTATTTTGCTTCTGTTAATCCTGGATTAATGTTTCTTTTGATACCATGAGCTTTAATTACATAGTGCATTGGGAAATTTGAAATTGGTGGTGTCTTGTAAAGTTGTTCTCTTGCATCCAAAATACATGGTACCCAACAAATTTCGTATACTGCCAAAGTGTTATAATCGGTAGAGTGCTTTGCTTTGGACGATATGGAGTTTTTTTTGGGGGGGGGGGGGGGGGGATTTAGTGCTGAGTCATTGCATTACTGTTGAACGTAATCTATATACATATTGGGGTTTTTTTTTTTTTTTTTTTTTCTGATAATTTTTGGATGGTCAATAGCACTATTGTAACACTATTGCAGTAATTGGATTTTACCTAAGTTTGGAATGGATGACAGTTTTTTAATAAATATCTTAATGCTTTTTGATAAATGTATGTAGCAAAAACGGGCTAAGTGTAGGAGTTGTCATTGTGTCTTAGTACGAACTCATGTTTTGACATACGAGAATGACTGACGTGTTGACCACACTATATTCTTTTGTTTCCCCTGATGAGCTATGTCAATTGCACTCCATATGTGGTGGATATGAAAATAATTCTTTTTCGTTTTTTAATTATTGGCACATATTGAATATAGGGGGAGATTTGATAGAAGCAGTTGGGACGTATCATCAGAGATAGAGTTGAATTCATGTCTACTTTGAGTCTGTGTTATATGTCTTTGTCCGAGCAATCTATTGAGCAACAAATCAATATGTATTTACATATAAAACATGCTTGTAGATGCTGATAATTCAATTTTGGAAACATCATACCTCAAAAGAGTGGGTAAAGGGCAAAGGGAAAACACAGTGCATGAGGCTCCCGTCATTGCGGGGTCTGGGGAGGGTTAGATGTATGCAGCCTTAGCTTCGCACACGAAGAGGCTGTTTCCTTGTTTCGAACCCTTGACCTCCAGGTCACAATGCATCAACCTTATCGTTGCACCAAGTCTCGCCCTCAAAAGAGTGGGTATGATGGCCAAATGTCAATTCGTCTTTTATTATGGCACTTCCTAACTTGAAACAACGTTGGGCTTGATAGTCATTTGCTAATTCACATGCTTGCAAAATTTATAGATCTTTTTGGTTGTTGAAGATTAGCTTTACATTGTCTATTCCGTGGTCTACCTTGTTATTTTAGAAATCCTATTCTCACACGACACTCGATCATTTTACTAAATTGTCATGTTAGTTTAGAGATACAACATCACTAACTGATAAGCGTTGTGTTTTCATCTAAAACTCTTTGTTCACTAACATTACTTGCATGTAAATCTGGGTGATGCAGATTGACCTCTGAAACTTATTGTTTAAGAAGAGATCATAGACATATTAGAGTTATTTGTGAATCGGTATTTAGTTATTTTATTTTATTTTTATGATTGTGAATTTAGAGAGAGGTTGATTGTAGTGTGTTAATGTTAATTTTCAATTGGAAAATTTAAATTCCTGTTTTCTTTGCTTGCTGTCAATGAGTGATATTCTGTGGTTTGACTTTGGTTTGAGATGTTATTGAAAACAGGGGAAAATTAGCAGTAAGCTAATTTATCTAGTCAAATACTTTATATTTATTCCATCACCTGGAGGGGTTTTGATGGAAACGGAAGGATACCCAGGTGTTGCGGTAAAGAAGCCATTGCTTACGCCTAAGGCTATTATAAACCAGAAGTTTGGTACCAAGGCATGCTATAAGGTAGAGGAAGTACAGGAATCCACTCAAAATGGATGCCCGGGGCTAGCCATCTCACAGAAGGGCCCGTGCCTTTACCGCTGCCGTTTGCAGCTTCCAGAATTTTCTGTTGTGTCAGAAACCTTTAAAAAGAAGAAGGAGGCAGAGCAATCTGCTGCAGAGATGGCTTTAGAAAAGGTTTTTCTTCGTGTTTGTAAAATATAAATCATATCCATCTTATTTGCTTGATACCACATTGGTTGCTACTCAACCTGTGAATTGTAGTGGCAATGTTCAGTGACAAACGGTTCCAGTATTAATTTAAGATTTTGATTCAACAATGTAAATAATCTCAAAATCGCATCAGAGAATATTAATGTGTAGATTGTTTTAGTATGACCTTTCCCTTTTTTTCTGTTTAGTGGTAGTTATCTATATTAAATTTTACTTAATTTTCTGCGTATTTACTTCATTCACTTCAAATACCATTTTAATACCAGTGATAGTCACCAAGTGATGTTCATGATATTGATACCATTTAACTTCAACAATGAATTATTATTTTTTTTGAAAAACAACAATGAATTTATTTTCACCTACCTTGTATATTATATTAAGAAGATCGTTGTATATTTTCCAGTACTCTCTCTGTTTCTCATCTCTTTTCTTTTCCCGTTTATATATCCAATTGGTTCATTTATAGCATGTAAGGAAGAGTTGTTAGCTTAATGTTAACCTTCAGTGTCATTTGGTTGGGTGTTCACTCATCAAACTTTCAATTGTCGTTAACTCTTATTTTATTAAAACCCATGACATTATCTATGTCGCAAACACCATAAGCATTTTTTTCTACTTATAAAGGCTCTGACACATTTGCCTGTTCTGTTTTACATGCCTCCTAAAACAAATTTCTTATTGGGTATAATATTCAGATTAGGTTATTGTGTCTGTTTTGTCTTACCTCTTTACGTAAATACGTGTAATATGTAATTGACTGATAAAGCATATTTCCTTATTAGTTGTATTCTTCTGTTACAGCTAGGCATCAACCCTACAACTAGTAATCCTACTGTACAAGAAGCATGGGATGATTTAGTTCTACGTCTAAAATATTTATTCTCGAATGAGGTAGGTCGCTTAAACCAAAATAGACTACTGTCAAGAAGCTTTCATTCTATCTTCTTCAGTGATTAGAAATCTTGGTATATTTCTAGCATCCGTATTTCATCATTTAAAACATCTGATTGGTATTAGCTTATCTTTTATTAATTGAGTTGATTCTAACTTTTCTGCTTTATCTTTGTGCCATTGGTGAAGTTTCTTTCATCTCTTCATCCATTGAGTGGTCACTTTAGAGCAGCTTTACGACGAGAGGATCAGCTGGATGGTTCAGTTCCAGTTTCTGTTATTACCATCTGTGATACAAAGTCTAATAATTTATGTAAATACATAAATCCTGAGGTTGAATCAAATCCATCGTTGGTTTTGTCACTTGTGCTGAGGGCTGCTGCGACATTACCCAGTTTCATTTCTATTTCTGAAGAACAGCTTTCGATTAAGAGGCGAGATCCTTACGATCCTGAGATTATACAGTCTGTAGTAAACCAACAGTGTAGCTTTCCAGAAAGCACTTCGATTGAAGCCATATGTATTCCATATTCAGTTGACAAGACTGTCGTACCCGTAACTCTTAGTGTTTCCTCTAATGGCTATTACTTGGATGTTATTGCGCACAACCTTAGTGTAACAGATTCGTCTAAGGTTCTGATATCCAGGTAAAAGATTTGATAAATTTTAATTGGTATAGTTTGGTGTGCATAGTTCGTCTTGAATGTCCTCATATACTTGAATTTTATTTGGACTACTCAATTAGTGTTCCAGTTTGCAGCTAAAATAACACATAATTTTGAATCATTAATCTTTGTAGAACTTATATTTTGCCTAGCCCAGCTTGCATTAGATATCCTTACCATGTTTATTGTGTGCGCCAAATTTCAGGTTTGGTCAAATACAGTTAGCTGTGCAATTCATAAGTACGTTTCTTATAATAAAAGAGTCACACAAAACTCTAATATGAATGGATGGGCAGCTCATGGACTCCAGTGAAGTTTAATTTTCCATGCTTGACAACTAAGGGAGGGAAATTTCATTTACCGATGGGCTTGGGTTGAAAGGAAGGTTTAGAGTACATGTTTGGGTAGAGTGGGAGAGGATGGCACCTTTCTTTGTTTTATAGAAATGTACCTTGTGAATATCTGCTTATTTGAATCATTAATCTTTGTAGAACTTATATTTTGCCTAGCCCAGCTTGCATTAGATATCCTTACCATGTTTATTGTGCGCGCCAAATTTCAGGTTTGGTCTAATACGCTGTGCAATTCATTACGTATGTTTCTTATAATAAAAGAGTCACACAAAACTCTAATATGAATGGATGGGCAGCTCATGGACTCCAGTGAAGTTTAATTTTCCATGCTTGACAACCAAGGGAGGGAAATTTCATTTACCGATGGGCTTGGGTTGAAAGGAAGGTTTAGAGTACATGTTTGGGTAGAGTGGGAGAGGATGGCACCTTTCTTTGTTTTATAAAAATGTACCTTGTGAATATCTGCTTATTTGAATCATTAATCTTTGTAGAACTTATATTTTGCCTAGCCCAGCTTGCATTAGATATCCTTACCATGTTTATTGTGCGCGCCAAATTTCAGGTTTGGTCTAATACGCTGTGCAATTCATTAAGTATGTTTCTTATAATAAAAGAGTCACACAAAACTCTAATATGAATGGATGGGCAGCTCATGGACTCCAGTGAAGTTTAATTTTCCAAGTTTAATTTTACATGCTTGTCAACTAAGGGAGGGAAATTTCATTTACCGATGGGCTTGGGTTGAAAGGTTGGAAATTGTATGTTAAATGTTTTGGCACTCAACCCCTAAGGTTTAGAGTACATGTTTGGGTAGAGTGGGAGAGGATGGCACCTTTGTTTGTTTTATAGAAATATACCTTGTGAATATCTGCTTATTTGAAGAACTACACAATTTTTACAGGACTATTGGCAGAGCTTCTTCTGAGACGAGACTGTACGCTCGTGCTTCCAAATTGTATACGCTGGATCCGTCGTCAGAACTTCTGCAAACAAAAGCTGTTCAGTTTGAGGGATCTTTAAATGTGAGGGCAAGTTACTTCTCTGGTCAAGATATATATGGTGATGCAATTTTGGCATCTGTTGGGTACAAATGGAACTCTGCTGACCTCTTCCATGAAGATGTATCCTTGCGTACATATTACAGGTCCCTATCTGACTTCATTTGGTTTGTTGAATAGTTTATTCCACCATATGCTCCCTTATACTGCTTAATCTCCAAATTCTTTAGCATTTTTTAAGTATTGGAGTGATCTGTACTGAAAGAAAAAAGAATTCTTATATTATTATTTGAGAGTTTTCTGAAAATAAATTGTATTTGTGTGATTATAATTTTTTTTTTCTTTAAAAAATTTCTTATACATCATTTCTTTCAAACTGGGTGTCTATACGTCATTCTATGAAATTAGGTGAAAGATTCTAAAAATATATAAATTTATTTTTCAGAATACCAGTGTGTGCATAATTGACCTTTGATTAATAGTTAGTTATTCTGGTAAAATTAAATGGATTCTGCTGCAATTGAGCCTCTGTGCTCTACACTGCACGCAAGTACACCATAATCTTCAGTTGGGTTAATGGGCAAATTGCTTAGTGATCTCTTATGTTTTCTAGAACAATTATAAGTGGCCTAACATTTCCCTTAGAGTAATGCTACTATGAGGTTGACCTCATGACACCTCTGACTCCTTTTGTCGAGATCATGTACAAATAACGTACATTTCCTCTGTTTTTCGAAGCAATAGAATCATTCCAAAAGTGGTTAACTACTTATATTATGAAATTATCTTGCTGTCTTAAAGTGTATCATGAAAAGAAATATTGACTTAAGAGCCATCAAAGATGGCTTCATTTATTTAAACAGTTAGAATAACTATTATATTCCATGTTATTTTTTTATATGTAAATCGTAAACACTAAAAAAAAGAACAGCAGCTATTATTCACACATAAATAATTATGTGATGATTTGAATAAAATTAAAGTACCTAAGTTTCTTTAATGATATATGATTAAGTAATAAGACATATCATTTTCTTACCTCTATTAAGATTATTTAAATTCCTTGTAGATCAGGTTAGATTGTCAATAAGACATCTATTGCTTCAAAAATAAAGAAGGGACAGTGATTGGTGATAGTTTGTATGCACCTTGGGGTGATTATGGAAACTTCAGGATATGTCAGTGTTGTTTTCAGTGATTTTCTATGTAGGGTCATCTATTTAGGCTATTGATGCATAACATTGGCATATGTTGCTAAGATGCTTGCGCAAGTTTCCTTGCTGTCCAGTTTGAAAACTGTGTTTCTCGTCTTAGGGTGGTTGTAATGTTTTATGTGATGCACCCACATGTGCAAATTATAGTATTCTGAGTACCTTTTAGATTGCATTACTCAATCATAATGATAACTTGTTTTACAGGATATTTATTAGTAAGATACCTAGTGGAGTTTACAAGGTGTCCAGGAATGCAATACTTGCAGCAGAGTTGCCTGCAGTGTTCACTATGCGAACAAATTGGCGGGGTTCCTTTCCAAGGGATCTCCTTTTAGCATTTTGCCGTCAGCACCATTTATCTGAACCTCTCTTCTCTCCTACGAATGATCCCTTAGAATCAGTGCCACAGTTACCTAGTTCACACAAGAAGTTGAAGGTTACTGAGTCAGGTAAATCAGAATCCAATGGAGGTGGCATTGCTGGCAGTGGATCAGTGGGAACAAGAGGAACATTTAGATGTGAAATAAAAATATTTTCCAAGCATAAGGATCTAATTATACAGTGTTTACCAAAAGAATTGTATAAGAAAGATACTGATGCCATCCAGAATGCTTCTTTGAAAGTTCTCTCATGGTTGAACACATACTTTAATCAACTAGATATGTCTTTAGATAAGCTGACCTCCTCAGGAGATGTTCTTGGCATCCAGTTTTATCCCCAGTACTTTTTAAAGGAGTTTGCTTTGTGCCGACCTGTACATAATGTTTGTCAGAGCATTCGGACTCAAGGAGGCAGAGTATCACATTCAAACTCCGTGAATCAAATAGATACGGTGGAAGGTGTGTACCCTACAAACATTGGAGGTCCAGATTCTGGAGTCTCTCCATCCAATGGATGTTTAGCTTGTATTAGTTATACCATATCTTTGGTGACAGAAGGAGAGGTTATGAAAGAACTTCTTGAAAGTAATGAAGAGTTTGAGTTTGAGATAGGGACCGGAGCAGTGATCACATGTCTTGAAGGAGTTGTGACACAGATGTCCGTGGGCCAATCTGCTTGTTTTTTCATGGAATTACCTCCTCAAGAGTTGATTTTGGCTGCAGCTGGTGATTCTGCAAGAACCCTTTCATTAATTTCTTCAAGTAAGTTGAAACTCTTTTTTTATGTCTATTTCATGAGATTGCATAGGCAGCTAGCCAGATCAAGAATAATGGAACTTTGCTTCTTGGCCTGAGAAAAGCTTCTGCCCATTTAAATGTTGGATTTATGCATGAACCTGTGTGCCCAAGGTGAGAGGCTGGAAACTTTTTGCCTCCCTTTATTTGGTAAAAGATTTGACAAAATAAAAAATTCCTTGTCATTCTGGTCAGGTGGTAGCCCCAGTGTTGGAGACGGGCAATGTATTGATAATTTGATTATTGTCATGTTGCTCAACTATGCTGGAAATAACTAATAGTATAAGGAAGAAGTTCCTGCTAACATGGGTAATGGGACATGCTAAAATTGATTTTTAGATGAGGTTTTGTTGTGTTGAAACTTGCAACATTTGGATGAACCCTTTGAAAGCAAAAGTGCAAAATGGGAAACAATAGGCTCTTATCGTTTCATTCTGATTATTTTATGCATAGAACTATGCATTACATATTTACACTTGGCTGTATACTTTGTGGCAGAAAGCGGCAGCTTGGAGTGCTCTGTGACTTTGTTGCGGGTGACTGAACCCTTGGAAGACAGAATGGAGCAGGCTCTTTTCAGTCCTCCTCTATCGAAGCAACGTGTGCAATATGCATTGCAACATATAAAAGAATCTCGTGCTACTTCTTTGGTATATGTGTAGCATCTTTCTTTATTTTTCTTTATTATTATTTTTATTATTTTTTACGATTTTCCAAATTTGATGTAAAGAGTGGAGGTTGATTTCCGTGTTCACTGCAGGTTGATTTTGGATGTGGCTCTGGGAGTTTACTGGATTCTTTGTTAGATTATCCAACTTCTCTGGAGATAGTTGTTGGTGTTGATATTTCTCAGAAGAGTCTTGCCCGTGCAGCAAAGGTACAAGCATTTGAGTTTGGAATTAGATTTTTTCCTGCTCTTTTAATACCTTGAATCTTTTCTTTCAACCGAATTCTCTCCCTCTGTTTAGAAATTTGTTATGTTACTTTGGGGGACAATTTTTTTCTTCTGAAAGGCAGGGAGCATATTCAAAGGGGTCTAGTTCTACTGTTTGATAGCTCCAACTGCTGGAATGACAGCAGATTTGGTGCTCGACTGATTTAATGACCATATCTATTCATCACTTGTTGAGTAACGACGGAAAATATAAGAAGTATGATGTAAAAAATTTACGGATCAATGGTAGTATTCATCAAATGTTGTTACTTTTATCTTCTGAATCACCAGATTAATGTGGGCCTCGCCTTTCCCTTTTTTTTTTTTTTTTTTTTTGATAAGTAGCCTTTTCCCATTTCTTCTTCAGAATATAGGCGAAAAGAGAAACTTACATATATATATATATATATATTTGTCAAAATGTTATATGATGTACATTCTATGAAGGAGGTATTCATAGTGTGATTGCAATTAGAATGTGATTTTCTTTTTGATGATATGGAGTGGTGTGAGCCTTCCATTTGTTTTTCTTCTGGAGGGTATGGAAAGGGAGACTGAATTCTTTCCATTCTTTTCCCTTTTAACTTTATAGACTAGCAATAGTTTTCTAGCATGCTTCATTAATATATCGTTAATCATTTTGCTGCATTTATTGTTTTCTTTTGAAAATGCAGATATTACATTCAAAATTAAGCACCAATTCTGATGTTATTAAGCCAAGTACAGCAATCAAATCTGCAACTCTTTATGAAGGTTCCATCACAGTTTTTGATTCTCGATTGTATGGATTTGATATTGGCACTTGCTTAGAGGTATTCTCCTTCTGAACAATGAGTTGAACCTTTAGAGAGTTCATTCTTAGTTAGTTATCTAATTGTTCATTTTCGCTCCTCTCACTTGAAATTGTTTTGTTCAAAGTTGGATGTTGATTTATTATAGCTTAGTGTATTATTTTGGGCAAATTGCATAAAACCACCCTTTAGTTTCAATTTTTGGCAAAAAACCCCCCTCAAATTTTTTTTTTGACATAAAACCACACCAAGTTCTTTGTTTGTTGCAACACTACCCTCTAATGACAAAATACTCCTTAATATAATATACATATATTTTAAGAAAAGGGTGCCCCTTAATATAAGATTAAAATTAATGCAAATGACTCATTCAACATAGTGTTATTAAAAAATTATTTCTGAAAAATAAAAATTAATGGTGCATCTATAAAAAAAATAAAACTACCCTGGATTTTTAAAATTTTCTTAAATTTTTATTTCTTGAAAATAAAAAAAGGAAAAGAAAACCTAAGACTCATGACTTTATTGACCTGACCAGGAAAAAGGTGACTCTATATTTTTTTATGAGATTTCTTAATTGTTAATTGAATTCAATCTTAATGAGTGCGTGGGTACCTGTACCCGAAACCGACACAGGTGGGTAGGTAGAGAATACCTAGGGGCGCGAGACAACTCTCTCTAAGGAACTCGGCAAAATAGCCCCGTAACTTCGGGAGAAGGGGAAAATTAGTTTAAAGAAACCTAATTTTCTTAAATTTATATAAAGGGGCATTTTTGTCATTATAAATCACTTTAATGGTGTTTAATTTTCAAAATTTTCTTAAAGTTATATTTTTAAAAATTAAAATGGAAAAGAAAACATAAAATGAAAATCATTTAAAAAAACTCTAGGGGCATTTTCGTCATTAGGGTGCAGTGTTGCAACAACAAAAAATGTTAGGGGGTTTTATGTTAAGAAAATTTTGGAGGGGGGTTTCATGCCAAAAATAGAAAGTAGAGGGGGTTTTATGTAATTTGCCCTATTATTTTTCCCAACCACTTGGGGTCAGTTAAATGAATCTTATTTTTTCATTTTCTTACTAACTGCGTTACATTCAGTCTTTCCTTGTTCTTACATTACGCTCAATGTGAACCATGTTAACTCTTCCTATTTGGTGCACCTTGCGGTTTTCTTTGCAAGCGTTCAAACCACCTTAATCATGCGTCTCTCATTTCATCTCCATTTGATGCTACTTCAACCATCCTTTCTTGTCTTGCCGCATGTGTATATGTATGTACATATTTATATTTATATGTAAACTCATAATTATGATGATTCCGCTTCTTCTTCCATTTTTACCTTTCATGTATATATTTTCCCCCCTAAGTAAACTTGTATTAACCAAAGAAACAAAACTACAAGGCCAAGAGAGAGGGCATTCTCTCGCTTAACAATTGAGAAAGACTATTTCCAAAACCCAGAAATTAAAAAGAAAAGAAGGAAAATAACACTAATACTCAGGACTACCTCCAGCCTGAGATACATACATGTATGAACCTTTGAAAACTTAAAAACACAGCACTCAATGCTAACTTCCTGCAGCTGCAGCAATTGAACTGAAAAGGCCCAGAAATACAGACCCCACTGATGGTTATTTGTTATTCAGCACTGGAAGTCATTTAGATGCACTCCACCAATCTCACTTACTTCCCAAAACACCATTATGGCTAGCTGAATAGAACTAGGGTCCACACCTTGATGAAGGTTTGAATTTCTGCTTTTCCAAATACCCCATATGACAAAAGAGAAAAACATCCTGTACCAGTGGTTATCTTTTGAATCATGCTTGAATCTTTGCTGGAACCAAACAATAAGTTGCTCCCATGAAGATTTTTTCGCTCAATTCCAATGCAAGACATCAAACAACCATTTCCACACACTAGCAGCATATGAGCATTCAAAAAACAAGTGTTCAATTTGATCCCCATCCCTACAACAGTTATGGCCGACAGAAGTGAGACAAATACCCCTCAATTGCAAATTAGAAAGGGAGGGAATCCTATTTTGACCGGCAAGACAAGATGTCAAGCATGCTGCAGGTCTACTTTGGTTCCAACAACCTTTGTACCACTGATTTTTTGGGTGATGACCTCTTAGGATCTTAACAACTAAAAGCTGGTTTAAAATATATTTAGCCTCAGTAGATAAGATTCTAGGCTTCAGCCATCTGTTTCCTTGCACAATGGCACCAACATTTGCATTGTTGGACAGATCAAACCATCTAACCACTCTATGGCCAAAAGCTTGAATCAAAGTAGAACCTTCCACCAAGGATCCTAGAACAACTTTAATGATTGACCATCTCCTATTTTGAACAGGATATCGGCTACCAAATCTTCTCTAGTCCCCAGCAGAGTCTTCCAGAACAGAGAGAATTTACTGCTGTAAGTACAACTCTACACGGACGGATCAGCAGCCCTCGGAGATTGAAACCATGCTATCCACAACCTATCTTTTCCCTGAATAAAATCCCAAAATAGAGAGACTTTAGCAGCTTTATCAATCTCACTCAATTTTGTGATGCCAAACCATCCTGATTTAGGTTTAGTAACCTGACTCCAATTCATCAGGTGTATTTTCTTAGCATTTTCTCCACTCCCCTGTATGAAAGACGTGATCATCTTTTCAATCAGAGCAGAGACATGAGAAGGTATCTTGAAAGCATAGCACCAATAATTAGAGGAGGATGACCAACGGGCCAGTGGCCTAGCGGTATCAGGCTCTTACTTCTCAAAGGGAGGTCAAGAGGTCAAGTCTCAGTGGAGGCATATGTGTGTGAGTACCAACTTAAAAAAAAAATAATAATAAGAGGATGATACTACTTTCTTGACCAATAACACTCTACCTGCAAGTGATGGACCTTTAATGCACAATATGGTCAATCCTTTTTACATGGTTTGTCTAAACCTTTAATTTGATTTTACAATTATACTTCCGAAAGAATCACTACCTAGACCTGGTCCCACCTATGTGGGTTGCTGGGATGGGTTTACAATTATACTTTATTCATTCTAGACGATTTTTTTTTTTTTTTTTTTTTTTTTTCTCCTTTTCAAATCCAAGTTTTGTCAGTCGCATGTTAACTTTATTACACTATGTATAATTGAGTGGCTTCTGGCTTCAGACATTGTTCAAAACTTCCTATGATTTTCTTGTCAGGTTATTTATAATTTAGCTATGTCACACTAAGATAGATGCAGAACTTGGATGCAATACTATGAAGCATGGACACGGATAAGTGGTTATGACACAAGAAGGAAATGGTGATATAATGAATACCTTGAAAAAAGTACAAAGATAACAAGAATGCAGCTTCATTTATGTATATAGTGCATGTAATCACACGTGTATGAAATCTAAAATATTTGTATTTATTTATGTTCAACTATAAAAACAACTATTGTTTGTCATATCACACATTGAGGGCAATGCTTGGGGGGAAGGTGAAGATCACGATTGATATAAGGTAGAGTTGGTAAGGAAATATATGATAAACTATGGGTTGATTGAGGGTATGACTTTAGAGCAGAATGAAAATTCAAGATTTATGTAACCGATCCCAAGTAAGTGCTTAGTTGGGAGAAAGATCTGTTGAGTTGAGTTGAGTTGAGTTTGTCATGTTATATAAATATTACTAACATTCTCTTTTAAAAGTATTGTGACAAAGAAGTCTTTATGGATATATCTAGGTCTGCAAATGATCCGAGCCAATCCAAAATTCTGTCAGTCCGGGCTCGTTCGTTCATGAGTTCAGCTTGGGTTTGATTTGAGATCATGACGAGTTTGAATAGTTAAGTTCAACTTATACAAGCTTGTGTTCAAGAACGTATGATCATGGCCGAACAATGTTTTGGATCAGCTTGTTTACTAAATGAGCTCAAACGAGCCGAGCTTCAAAGGAGGTGATCCCGAGTTGTTCAGAAACAACATGATTTTTTTTTTGAAGCCCTAGATATATCAACGCAATGATATATTTATAGCTTATACTATTAAAATCATATGAAAACAATTGATGGTTCCTCATATTCTTAGCATTCATGTTCATATTGTCACAACCCGCTCACACCGTGTAGATATTGTCCGCTTTGCATACTCTCCTCTCGATGCTTATGGTTTTTCTCAAGGCGCGTCTACACGGTTAGGAGGTATCCACACATATGAGTGTTATCAAACCTCTCGCCCCCATGCAATATGGGACGTCACAGTAGCTTGGGGGGCCAACTGAGGATTGGCTCTGATACCATTTTGTCACGATCCGCTCATAGCTTGTAGATATTGTCCGCTTTGCACTCGCCTTGGTGCTCATGGTTTTCCTCAATAATAGTATAAGCTATAAATAAAAAGAAATTGGAGAAATTGGAGGATCAAGTGGTATAAGAAGTGAACATTTTCGTTATTTAGGCTCAATTATTCAAAATGAAGGAGAAATTGGAGATGATATTCATCATGAATCAAGATAGAATGGGTTAAATAGAAGTATGCATCCAGCATATTTTGTGATTGGCATACTTTGTTGAGATTGAAAAGGAATTTCTATTAAACAATTATTAGACCAGTTGTGCTCTATGGACATAATGCTAGGTAGCTAAGAAACAACGTATGCATAAAGCGAGTGTGGTGGAAAAGCGAATGATGAAATGGATGTGCACAAGACAAGGAAGGATAGAATTAGAAAAGTGCACATACGTGAAATGATTGAAGTAACACCAATTGGAGATAAATTGAGATGGTATGGACATGTACAAAGAAGACCACTAAGTCTGCTGTTTAGGAAGGGTGACATGGTCCTCACAGAGAGTAATGCCAAGGGAAGGGGAAGACCAAAGCTAACGGGAGTAGAGTAAGAAATGAGATCATTGAGATGTTAACACGTGGTTGACCCAAGACTATCCTTGGATAGAGTGGAATGGAAAAAAAATATTCATGTAGTTGATGCCAAGTAGTTGGGAAAAAGGCTTTGTTGAGTTGAGAGTTGTATGAAAAGATTGATGGTGTTTGGAAGCCTGAAATTGGCACCTTGAAATTTGAAGTGGAATTGTTTAAATTATTTCCCTCAATTTCCAATTTCAAGTCACCAATTTCATGCTACCAAACATAATATTGTATTGCATAGGCATAGAATTGGGTCTACAGTAGAAGATATATATTCTCAATTTTTCTATAAGAATGTTCAAGCTCTTAAAACTCTTGTATTTTTATGTCAACAATTATATGATACTGTACTAGATTTGCTACATTATAATATTGATGACGTGTTGGACATTTAGCGCACAGTTTTTAAGAAGTTCGAGTTACATGTTTGAAATAAATAAATTTATTTCAAATTTTAGATATGTTTATCAAGTATTAGATAAAGTTGTGGGCTTCTGTAGAGCGGAATGGCATAACAAGCAGGATCTGTTAAGTTGAGTTTATGCAGTATCAGATACGTATTTCTGAGTATTTAAGGAATTTGTGGTATCCGATATAGATATGACTCCCTTTTATGCTTCATAAATGCAATGTAATTTAAGAAACAAGGACTTGCATATGACAATAAAAGAACCAAACACCCAAAGACTGATACTATTTGTTTGTTTGTGTTATTATATATGCATATATATTGCACTATAGACTTCAATTCCTCTTCGGAGTCCGTTATCTTTTAATGAGAAAACATATTAGCAAATGTGCTTTATCATAATCTTGATTTTAGAAGTGCAATTGGCACAAGCAGGGCCTAAACATATTAAACCCATTCTGAATAAAACATTCAGTCTGACCTAAAATTACTGTCCTCTTCGAGAAGAGCTTCTTTTCACTTTTGCATTTGACCTTTGAACATTAGTTGCATGTTTTCCTATATTGTTGTTTGTTATCCAGCCTAATTAATGCTTTGTGGTGTCCTCACGAGTCCAGCTGATTTGAGTCCAATGGTCACCTCAATTTCTGATTCTTTTTTATTTAAATTTTGATACACAATTACTGTGTTTGGCACATATTTAGGTGCTTCAGAGCCATGCTCAGGCCTACATTGTCAGGGGTCCTCCTGTGACATGTCCGTGTTACTACTTAATGACATGCACTTTGATTAAAGTTGCCAACTATGTTATCTGTTTTTTCCAGTTTTTGCTTATTGGAGAACTAAAATTTGGACGTACTGTTTTCCAAGTGGCTAGTCACTGTACCACCATAACTACGTCTTCACTTCAGCCTTCTGCATCAATGGATGCTTCCATTGCTGCTGATCTTGTGGTATTATGATTTTTGTGTCTTCATTAGTGGAAATACAAATATGCATTAAGTGAACAAATAACTCCCCACGCTCCATTCTTCCTTATCAATTTACAGCTTATGTAATGACAGATACAGGCTGCAACTATATATCTATTACTACTACTAATTTTCATCGGTCGCATACTGTCATACATTAGACAGACAGATTTCAAATGCGCCTTTCCTGACCATCAAATGTCTTTTTATTTTTTTTATGTTTTTAGTTTACCAAGATTGCCATATTTTCAATGATGGTGTTATAATCTTCATTTTTTTTTTTTTTTTACCTTGGCAAGAACACTCGCGCACACTTTTTGCCCACACCCGGGCTCGAACCCCTTCCCTCCTCTTTGAGAATGGGGAGGTTATACCATTGGGCTCGATCGATTGCAATGTAATTTATTTAAGTGTATTAAGTATTGCATGATTGGTCTTCAAATCAGACATTTTGACTTGCTGAAGTGCATCCATTATTGTTTGATTGGTCCTCACATCAGACATTTTGATAAATTATAGGTGATTGAACACATGGAGGAAGATCAAGCGTGCTTATTTGGTGATATTGTGCTTAGTTCGTTTTGTCCAAAGATTCTTATCGTCTCCACCCCAAATTATGAGTACAACGTGATACTCCAGAGATCTAATCTTCAAAGCCAAGAGGATCCAGATGAGAAATCCCAATCACAAGCTTCTAAATTCCGGAACCATGACCACAAGTTTGAATGGACCCGAGAGCAGTTCAACCACTGGGCATCTGACCTAGCCACGCGGCACAATTATAGTGTTGAATTCAGTGGTGTTGGTGGAGACGGTGACTTGGAACCGGGTTTTGCCTCGCAGATTGCTGTCTTTAGGAGGGAGGATGACCATCCAAAGAAGGTAGATTTAACCCACCATTATGAAGTTCTTTGGGATTTGAATAGCACAAGAATGTCAAGATCTGCTATGTGAAAACTTTATATATGGCTATAGTTATTATTATTAGATTTGTTCATTTGAATGTTGAAAAGGGTTGTGATGTGAAGCATAATACTTATGTAGATCTGCTTAGGCACTGAATGAATGCTTTTGCGGGCCTTAGCTCTAGTTGGCAAAAGAAATTGTGTAACCATTTCCCATAGCAGCAGATTTTTTTCAAGGAAAGAGAAGACTACAAAGCTTCTCATATGTAACTGTTAGAAGACAACTAACAGCTTTAACCAAAAGTTGGTGTATCTAGAAAAATTATTCAGCTTTTTGCTTGCGTGTCATTTAGTAATTGATCGGGAACAATGGTCCCTCGACATCATCTCCATAAATAGCATGATTTAACCACATGCTGCAGCCAAGTCAACCTTTGTTATAACCTTGTGAAAAAATCGATTGATAAGTCGAACCTCAAGACTAGCTTGCAAGAGCATCAAAATCTGAGTGGCACGAGGATGTGTATAGAAATTTTGGGTTGATGCCCCATGGTGCAGGGAAAATTGAGATGCTGGTAGCGTTGTGTCCCGGTGCTTGTGTGTCAGTGACGGGGTTACTGGCTTTTGCCAGTTTTGGATCCTTGCACCATTCACCAGCAGTGACATGGTCCATGATGAACATATCTATGCAGAGAACTGTTGAACGTGTTTTAAAATAAAGTTTTCAAAATATTCTTTTAACATAGTTTTTAATTATTCTACTGACACAAACACCTATTATCTAAACCTAGATCTGAAATAATGTTTAGTTATATTATAATTTATAACATATTTATAATTATGTGATCAACTTCCCTTACTATTGAAATATTGTCATTTTTGGTGACCACTGTATAATTGATGACAAATAACCTCTATACTATTGTGCAAACTACCTCTTGCGGTTTATTTTCCATCAGAAAATGGATGACAGAGAGTCATATACTCCTCACATAGTATATTATTGTCATTCTTTTACCAATATATATATATACACATATATATATAGCAAGCAAGAGGAGTTTATTAATCAAGCAAGAGGAGTTAATTACGATGAAGGAGGTACAACTCCACGACACCTCTTGTTTGGGCCGGGAATGCCCCATGTATATTGTAATTTTTTTTAAAATGTTCCCGGCCCAAACAAGATGCACAATACAGACCGTGAAAAAAAAGAAAAAGAAAAACTCTATAAGTAGAACCAGGGCTTTTATTGTTCCTTTTAGTGGGCTAAAATTGCTCTTGAACAAAACATATATGGAAGGGTCGAAAAATTTTGGGACTCGAATAGGAAGGAATGGGTAGAAATATTTCATATTACATTTTAGGCATGTAACTTAATTTTGAACCATTTTTTTTTTTTTTTAACTCAAAATTTTCATTTTTAACAACTAAACGAGGGAAAGGGTGTTATCCGAAAAACTATTACAGATGAGATTTTTTATTTTTATTTTTAATAAGGTCAGATGAGTTTCTAAACAAGAAGAATGATATATAGGTTGATTGTTTGGTGGATTTTTTTTATTCTATATAAAAATAAATAAATAATAAAATTAATCGTTGCTAAAAATATACTTGACGTGATTTGGATGCTTAATTTGGAGCTTGAATCAGGCTGTGCAAACAAAAGGTTGAAGATGAAGAGCAAAAGCCTCACTTGCAGCTTAGGTGCGTGTAGCTCAAACCTAGACCATCTCCAGTCCGGTTTTAGCTCATTTGAATCTCTGTGGTTTGAAAAAAAAAAATAATAATAAATAAAATAAGAATCTCTTTGTGGAGCCGGATTTTATGGCCCACACTCTGTCCAAACAAAATATATTTAAAAAATTCAAGGAAAAATAAAATAAAAAATATTTAAACATAATATAAAAATATGACAAAACATAACTAAGAGATTAAGATACACGTGGAAATGTGAATTTAGGAAATTAATTGTTTAATTAGTTTGGAACGGAGATTTTTTTAGGCCACAAAACTTAAGAATATAAATTATCCTAAATTAAATAGGCCTTGAAATTTAACACGTTAAATTTCAGGTTTCTACAACCCCCTGCAGACTAATGTGTGGGCCGCACTTTATTCCTCTCGTTTTTCCCTCTTTATCGACTATGGCTCGGTCATTTCAGTAGAACTTACTTTTTTTTTTTTATTTTTTTTTTTATAAAATAACATTTTCCTGGTATATCCTCGTCCGTTTTCTGGTCAATTTTATTGCTTGCTCTGTAGTTTTCTAGACAGACAATTAATTGAATTCACATAGCTCTTGATTTTATGGTAGCAAAACATCACTTTCATTAATTGCTTTAAACCAAATATGGGCAAAATGCAATTCAATTGGTAGGGACGTATCCACTTCATCCAATATGTAAAGAAACTGTTTTCGTTTCAACAGTTCATCCTTCCTTACTACATGCGTACCAAAATGATGTCCCAAGTTCAGAAATTGAGGAAACTAGCTAATATTATACTGTATTGATGTCAATTAAGTTTATATATACTCCGTATTAGTAAAGGTTTGGAAGTACGTAAGTAATTAATAAGTAACCTATAAATATTAATATAATAGGTGTAATTATATATAATAATTTTTAGTATGCAAGAAATTTAGATGGTAAGTAAATGGATAAACTTGTAAACTAACAGCCCCTCAAACTCAAGCTGAGTAAGAACCCAACTTGAGATTGAAGGCAAGATCATAAAAGTTGATGGAAATTTTGATGGAAATCGGTTTTCACCGATGATGAAGATGTATCTTGGAGGCTGAATGAGCGGCCAAATAAAAATTTTGCTGATTATGAATTCGAGACTGAAGGTTGGAATGTGGAAGCAACTGTTGGTACTCAAAACTGTATGTACCTCTCAAGTTTGTGGAATTTGAACTCTCCAAGTTTGGTTTAGTGATAATTGATACATGAACTCTCATGTTTCAGTCGAGTCTTACTTTATTTATTGTGTTCGAAGTTAACACAGCTGCGATCAATCGAATTTCGATCGCGAATAACACTACTGAGGTTGAAATTAACATAGATGCAATCGATCACAGTTCATTCGTGACCAAAATAAATTGTCTCTTGAAAAAAAAAAATTCCTATGGACACTATCTCCTGGACCCACCAAACTGGCCAAAGAACTCGACCCTTAGATTGGGATTTGCAAAGTGACAACATAAACCAAACTCGTGATTTAGGCTCACAACCTCACCATAACATATTATAGTAACAGAGATGGTTGGATACTTAGCTAATCTCATCAGCATTGCTTGCCTTGTCGGAATGCTTATGTTTGGTTGAGTCTTATTTGTTGCGGTACAAATAGGGACTGTTATGTCTTTGGCTCAATTTTATTTTATTATTATTATTATTATTATTTTTATTATTTTTATTTTTTGTGTGTTGTTGTTGTTATTATTTTTACTTTTTATATATATATACACATTTTTGTTACGTTGTCCCATAACCCTCTGTGTTTGGCTGTCATGGTTGATTGAATACAGCTCTTTGAACACGTACCTTTCAAAAAAAAAAGAATATTGAATCATTTTTATTTATTAAAAATGTTTGGGACCCGTAAAAATTGACATATTATTAAGATAATGTATATCTAAAATGACTGTATGTACCCATGTTAGAGGCCACGACATCATCAAAGGACCCATTTAGGAAAGAGATGAACCGGGGCCCGATTTAAAAAACATATAAAACTTTAGGTGAAGATGGGGAGAGTTTTGTCTATTTAGAAACAGATAAAGGTGGGAACATATTAAGAAAAGACGCGAGGGTTTAATAACTATATCGTTGAAGTTAAACTGGGGGCAATTTCATAAATAGATATGAAAGCCCAATAAATATATTATTCAACTTGTATAAGAGTTGGGCCGGGACTCAAAAACAATTCAGATGTGAACGTGTGGGACCAAAAAATTACAAAAATGGAGAATTGTTCCTAGCGTCTTTTATTTCCTACCTTGTGACCAATTCTTTTATTTCCCACCATTCTTCTCAGCTAAATTCATTTTCATTTTTAACCTAAGTTTTTATTTTCCTCCACATTTGTCAAAATATATCATGCAAGTGTGCATTAAAAGAAAATAATAAATAGAAGAGCAAGCATGAAGTTGCTTACACCGATAAAACATCTTACTATTTTCTAATAATTACATTCCTTCTCAGTGATCTTATTGCTTTACAAAACAATATTAATTACCATGCATGACTAAATATTTATTGATCTTCACAGGGTGATAAATTTAAAGAATTAATCTTGAAAACAAATTCTTCAATTTGTAGGTGTAGGAGATGAGTGTCCAAGAAATCTAAGTGCTTCAACAAGCGTCTTTGTAAATTTCTTTCTAAACCTCACAAGTGTAAAAGATACCAAAATAATAATAATAATAAAATATATAAAATTTCGGTATGACCTCCGCAGAAAAAATCCCTCTATAACTTGTTAAAATATATAAAATTGCAATGGCCTCATTTGGCCTTAAAACTAATCTATCCTGTTCCAACACACAATACAAATTTTATACCGATTAAAAAAAATATAAAACTTTAGGTGAAGATAGGGAGAGTTTTGTCTATTCAGAAACAGATAAAGGTGGGAACATATTAAGAAAAGACGCGAGGGTTTAATAACTATATCGTTGAAGTTAAACTGGGGGCAATTTCATAAATAGACATGAAAGCCCAATAAATATATTATTCAACTTGTATAAGAGTTGGGCCGGGACTCAAAACAAAGAAAGAAAAAGAAAGGTGAATTCAGATGTGAACGTGTGGGACCAAAAAATTACAAAAATGGAGAATTGTTCCTAGCGGCTTTTATTTCCTACCTTGTGACCAATTCTTTTATTTCCCACCATTCTTCCCAGCTAAATTCATTTTCATTTTTAGCCTAAGTTTTTATTTTCCTCCACATTTGTCAAAATATATCATGCAAGTGTGCATTAAAAGAAAATAATAAATAGAAGGGCAAGCATGAAGTTGCTTACACCGATAAAACATCTTACTATTTTCTAATAATTACATTCCTTCTCAGTGATCTTATTGCTTTACAAAACAATATTAATTACCATGCTTGACTAAAAATTTATTGATCTTCATAGGGTGATAAATTTAAAGAATTAATCTTGAAAACAAATTCTTCAATTTGTAGGTGTAGTGATAAGTGCTTAAATATTGCACATTTCAGCACTTAAGCTAAGGTATTTCAGTCTTTGCATCTATCTTAATTTTATGTTTTAATCCTAATTTATGTTTATGTGTATTTCAGGGCAATAAAGTTAAAATGAGCTAAGAACGGTCCAATTAAGCCTTTTTAGAGTCAAGCAAAGATATTCAGAAAAAGCTCAGAAAATGGCAAAAAGGAGGTCGCAACCCATTGCTCGTATAGTGTGTTTATTCTTCAAAAGCGGTCAATCTCAGGCTTTTGATGATGTTCCCAAAGATGAAGAAGCAAACTAATGAGTTCGGGGCTAAAATGGAGCTAAATAGGGCTTAAAGGAAATTTTCAACTCTGGGGGGATCGATCCCCAGGGTGGGGGATCGATCCCCCAAGACTTAGCAACATTACAGTTTTTATTTAATTTTTGGGCTCATTTTGGGAACTGTTGGGCTTTAATGAGATTGTTACTTAAGGCCCAGTGAGCCATTAGATTAGGGTTAGTTTTAGTTTTTATTTAGGTAAAGATTATTAGAGAAATAAAATTAAGTTTTATTTTATTATTTTTTTTCTGTATCGTAGTATCGTATTTTCTCTCTGGAAAAACACGCGAAAAAAGAGAAAAAGCAAGAACAGGCTAGGGTTTGGAAGAAAGGTTCAGAGAAGATGAAGCAGATGATGGGGATTGTCCTGTCTTCGACTCCATCAACCATGAGTGGCTGATTCTTTTACTTAGGGTTGGATAAACCCTAAGCATGTAACCTATTCTCTCTCTCTTTTCATACTTTTTGGGGATTAATTTATGTAATTAGTGTATAGTCTTGAATATTATAAATTAAATTCTTCCAATTGATTATCTGTATTAATCTCATATTATCTTATGTGTGGTTGATTGATAAACAAATTTTACACATGAATTCTTTGTTAATTGATTCTTGTGATGGCTATGCATGGTATTGCTTAGTTGTAATTGTGTTTCAAATTGATGAAAAATGCTTCCATTTGATGGATGGTACTACATGTTTAGGTTAATTTGTTGTCTAATTAGTTTTAAATTCATGTTTAATTAGTTTAATTTAAGTTTAATTAATTTAATTGCAATTCAATTATTAGGTAAGTAGACCATCCATACTTATGTTTGAATTCCATACTTTTTGTCACAATTGCATTATCTTCTAGATTAATGTGTGTTAAATTTGTAACTTGGATTGATAAATCATGCTTTGAATGGGTGAATTGCACTACACTTAGTTTAATTGTCATTAGGTAGTTGATTCATGCTTGAAATTGATGGTTTACACTTTTCATTGCACTTGTTAGCCACATATAGATTACATAGTATTATTTCCCCAATTAGTTGAAAGTGAGTGAGTTAGGGAATGTGCTTAGTGGTGAATCCTACACCCTAAGCCTCTTTCCAATCTCTTAAACTCTATTTCTTTATTGCAATCATTTAGTTTAAAATTAGTTTTAATCACAAACAAAACCCTTTTGGCAATCACATAAGCATTAAAGTAGAATTTAATTCTGGAAAACCTATAATTATTTAGATCTCTTGGGACGATCCCTGCTCACTTCATACTCTATAGTATAAGTGTTTAGTGGTTTTATAAATTTTAAAATATGGTGCCCACTTGACATTATTTCTAAACCTAAAGTGTTGTGCATTATTTTGTGCATACGCTCGGTCGCACCATGTAGGAGATGAGAGTCCAAGAAATCTAAGTGCTTCAACAAGCGTCTTTCTAAACTTCTTTCTAAACCTCACAAGTGTAAAAGATACCAAAATAATAATAATAATAAAATATATAAAATTTCGGCATGACCTCTGTAGAAAAAGCCTCTCTACAACTTGTTAAAATACATAAAAATACAATGGCCTTATTTGGCCTTAAAACTAATCTATCCTGTCCCAACACACAATACAAATTTTATACCACATTCCTAAAATGATTACATACATATAAAAAGTTCCCGTTTCTCCATCTCATCCAAACAACGCACTTTAATTACATCAAGTTACAGTCCATGAAATATAGCTAAAATTTAAAAGTCCATAACTTACAATACTATACTAATTAAACTAAAGTTTCACAAAATAGTTAAAATTACACTTGTTTCTATAACATCCACTACTACAACACTATACAAGCTACACTTGGTCATTATAAGAGAATATGATTCATGTTTCTACACAAAAGACCACAAAATGATAATCTCGATCCAATCTAGATTTGTGGTGGATTGTCGTCCGCCACTTCTTTTCCCAAACCTGAAACATATATGTTAAGATAATGGGGTGAGCTAAACGCTTAGTAGAAATTGTCTAAGACACACTTCTTATGACCCCATGAATCCATGCAAAGAATAGGTAAAACATAAGCGGGATCATGTCATAGGGAATACACATCAATAACACCACAACAAGCATGTAAATAAATATCATCCAATCACAAATACACCAAATATGCTAATGAAATGCAATGTCATGTCAATGTCGCTCCCCCATTTTTTGAAACAATTCCATGTTGCCGTTCCAAAGCGTTAATGCAATCCGGCCCATAACACCTCTATGGCGCCACGAGGGAAGGGTTGGCTAGCTTTCCTCGACCACATGGCACTTTCATTGCGTCATTTGGGCCTAGGTAGCTCAACCATATTAGAGTCTCTCTTTAGCCCCTCTAGATCACATTAACACCACGGACCACTAGCGCGCACTACAAGAAATTTGGTTTTTAGGGACAGTCAAATGTGTCCCTAAAAACCCAAGACCGTCCCTAATGATCAAAATCATCTGTCCCTAATTGTTGCGTGCCAAAAGATCTTTAGGGACGGTAAAAAATGACCGTCCCCAAAAAACTCGACCTTTAGGGACAGTACCTATTATCCCAAATAATACTATCCCTAAATGGTATTAGGGACGGTAGAAACCGTCACTAATCATTTATACAATAGGGACAGTTTTGGTGACTATCCCTAATACATATAGTATTAGGGACAATAAATACCGTCCCTAATACATAATTTTTTTTATTTATTTTTAAATTTGCGACAGCTAAAAACTGTCCCTAATACTCATTTGATTTTTTATTTTTATTATTATGTTTTTATTTTGGGCTCGGTTTGATTTGTATGATTAAAACATTTTATGTTGCAAGTCCAAGGTATGAAGAAAAGAAAAGGGAGATTGTGCATGCAACTTTGCTGAATCAAATGGGACAAATTCTGAATAAAAAGAACACAATTAATATGTTCTATACCAATATCAAGTTCAGAAAAAGAATTATCACAATAGCGCTATAAAATCTTTAAAAACTTCAAGCTCTTAATTTCATAATGAAACTATAAAATCTCCAATTTAACCTAACAAAAACTACAAAATATTCGCTAGCAGTTTTAACATCAAATGGTTTCGACATCCTCATAGTCAGGCATCATTGCTCCAGCCGTTCCAAATAGTAGCAGCTTTAACATCAAATGGTTTCAACATCCTCATAGTCAGGCATCATTGCTCCAGCCGTTCCAAGTAGCATCTTCCATGCATCTCCTATATGTTTGAATCCAAGAGAAGTGAGAGAAATTAGGAAAGTGAGAAAAAAAATGAAAAACCCAATCCTAGTTTTCTTTCATATATCAACCAACGTTGAAATGCACCTTCCTGAAAGGTATGTCCCCATTTTAAACATCTACAATTTGAAAAAGCGAACAAATAAAAACTGAACAATACCACTAGCTAGTATATTACCTATAATCAAATTGATGAAGATAAAATATAAATAAGACAATAGTTAATGGTGATGTAATGGTTCATTGGATTGGAACTTAACCATTTTGCTCACTACTCTTTTTATGTTCAGCACAAGTACTGTAAATTCAAAAGCTGACCAAGCTGCTGAACCAGTTGACCAGATAAATTTGCATTTCCAAGATCACTGTGTGTAGAAAGGGAAACTTTGTTATCACACCATTATACAATGAAAACCATGAATCAGCACTATCGCTAAGTAATAAGGTACATAACAAGTATGTAAGTAACTAAAATCATCACAGAAAGTAGGCAACTTACACTCTTGTAACACTATTCTCACTGTTGCATGTGTACTAAACTTAATTAATGCTAAAGCTTTAAAGAAAGAATGGGTAAGGAACTGAATGCAGTGCCCCTCTCTAATGTCCTATTCTGAAAAACCTATAGCCATATTGCCATAAAGTCATGTACCCTGGTGCAACTCGAAAATGCTAAGAACTGTCAAAATAATTAGAGTTGTAGTGAAATTAAGATGTATTATTCAATCAAATTCTACATACAATTCAATTGAAGAACAAAATATTCTAAAAAAGGAAGAAATGTTCATAAACAACATAGAGTTAGTGAAGTGAATAAAATAACCACTTTATGGAATATGGTCATGCTCTACATATAAGACAATTTTACCATATAAAACTATATCTTCAAACCAAAAAAAACAAAGTATATACTATATTAATCACTACTATTTGATCTATGATCCAAGTTCCACAAAGACATTTGACAGTGAAAATCTCATGTTATTCTTGAAGTGGCCATTAAGAATTTTCTTCAAATTTTACTGCAAACCATTATACCTTCAGAAAAAAGGGAATTTGCAGGGTATAGACTCAAAGTTAACGTGCCTATTCCCAACAGTAAAAGCCTTCTATTGCAACTTCCTGAAACTTGTCATATGTGATAAGAACCACTATCAAAAATTTTATTTGATTATAAAAAAAAGCATTGTCTATAAATTTAACCTTAAGCTTAACTAACATTATTGTCCAAATTTATTACTACATTTTAGAATTCACCAAACCTGAGCTAATCATGAAGTAATGATCTTCAATCAAGAAGATTATACCAGCCAGTTTGAGTCTGAAGTGGCCAGGGCAGTCATTGTAGCCTTGAGAAAGGATTTTTGTAATGAACCCTAGAATTAAATAAAACACCAGAGAGATCACCAGATTTTAGATAAAACCGAGTGCAGAGATTGAGAAATCAAAAAAATTAAAAGATTGCAATACTCACTACCAATGGAGTCGTTCGTAATAGATAGTATCGCTATTCCAGACCACAATATTCAACTGTCGAAGTCCTTCAATCAACATAAACAGCAATTTCTCTTGAAATGACTTTTGCTTCCATCTTTATTTAAAAAACCAAATTAGTCGTGTCTAAGAGTTAACATTAAAACCCACGTTCAGTATCTAACAATTCAACTTTCTCACAAGTAAATTTTCAAACAGATTGTAGCTAAAAAAAAAAAAAGAGTACCTGCAACATATATGTTACAGTCTCAAAACCTGCAAAATTAGCATGCAATTCAGGATCCAAGAAAATGAGTTAAATAAAAAACATAGAAAAAAAAAAAATGAGGATTTTATTAAACCTCTGTGTGGGTGATCAGGAAATCCAGCAGGAGGTGACACTGTATGATCAAGGACAGTATGGTCATATTACATTAGAATGGATATCAAGAGTGCCATGATTAAATAGGTGATCATCAAATTTGACCTGCAAACTCATCCAACATGAGAAAAGGATCCAAATACTTCAATTCTGACCTGAAAAGTCAAATCCCCATCAATTACCTATAAGCAATCAATATAAACATGACAAAACTAAAACACCTAAGCAACAAGAACTATTGGATCAAAATGCATAAAACACACAAAACAATTCATACCCATAAGACAAATTGTTCAAATAATAAGTGTTCATGAATCAAAATTGAGAAAACCCAGAAAAATTTCAATACCCAAATGACATAATATCCAAAGAATTGATGAAAAAAAAATGAAGAAAATCAGAGTACCTTCCAATGCTTTTCCTAACAACAGCACCATGGCCTTCACTTTGAGGCTTGGCCAAGACCTTCTTGACAACTAATCTAGGCTTGTGAAAACCAGTGGTTTGACCTGATCCAGACATGGTTTTTCCAACAAAAGAAAGGACTGTGTTTATGCTCTTATTGGAGTAACAGACATGCAATTTGAAGTCATATTACAAGAAAAATGGTGAATTCACACACCAGTATGCCACCAATCAATACTAATGATACCCAGATGTCAACCAATTCAAATACCCTTCACATCATTATTAATAAAAAATGATACACCAATACAAGGCATAGAACCTTGATGGAAAGAAAAAAAGATACCCATATATATGCATGTTACCCAGATATCGAAGTTAAAATGAAGAATAGAGTTCTAGTGAAAGTTCAGAATTTTGAGTTTAGAATGAAACGTTTTTAGTTTTCTAATTGTTTTTTTTTTTTGGTTACTTACTTTTTCTATTTGTTACAATTACTTCATTTTAAACTTTTATTCAGAATTTTTCTTTGGTTACATTATTATTATTATTACTTTTGTTGTGCGTGTTTGATTTTAATTTCTTTTTCTTTGTTTATTCTTTTGTTGATGAATCGAGGCGATTGTGTATACAATTTAAGGGTAAAAATTAGTTCTTTTTAATTGCTTTTTTTCCTCTCTTTTTTTTTTCGTTGGTTTTTTATTTTTATAAAAATTCAGAATTCAGAGTTTAGTTAATAATGAAACTTTTTTTAGTCTTTGTATTGGTTACAATTACTTCATTTTTTTATTCAGAACATTTTTTTATTTAGAATTTTTATGTCAGTAACATTATCTTTGATTTTACTTTCTTCTTCTTTGTTTCTTAAATCTCCTTTTGCTGATAAATCCTGCCCATTATAGGTATACAATTATGGGTAAAAGTCTGTTCTTTTTGAGGTTTTCTTTTTTACTTTTTTCTCTGCAAGAATAGAGTTATGTTGTGTTTTGGTTTTGGTAAAAAAAAAAAATCGTTTTTCTATTTGTTACAATTACTTTCTTTTGTTATTTATGTTCATAATTTTTATGTCAGTTACATTATCTTTCTTCTTGTGTGTTTGATTTTAATTTCAATGTCTTTGTTTATTAATGGCCTTTTGTTGATGAATGCCAAGATTTTTTTTACTCTTCTTATGGAGATGTTAACAATCAAATGCTATAATTTATATGAGGTAGTGTGTGATGCATACCTTCTAACATATCTTTATGAGCTGTACACTCTCTCTGAATCAGCTTTAGGAAGAATGGTTCCTGGATAAACTTTAGGAAAAATAAGATTTTAATATAATCTTTCACAAATATTTGGTAAGAGATTGCTAAAATGGAAAAAATAATATCTAGAAATTACAGTTTAAGCAGAAGTCACCTTAATATGTTTTTATGGATTTTTAAAACTTGTTAAAAGGATGGTATGTGCCTAAACAGTGGTTTTTCAGAAACGTGATACATCTTTTGTCAATGTTGCAGGAGCATATATATATGCTAAACATGATAATGAGTGAACACATGCTAACAACTACACAATATATAAACTTGTAGGTTGGAATCATAAAGACAAGCATGCATCAGGCCCCTTCCCTTTTCTACCTTTAAATATAAACAAGAAATATAAGCTAAGTATCAACTTAGCTTCCCTTAGTGAGTGTGTTTGTGTGTGTAAAAAGTGGTGGCCCTGGACAGCTCTAGCTGTGTAATCTTCCCATCTATTCGACAAAAAAAAAAAGGGTAGCTAAGTTGATACTTAGCTTATATTTCTTGTTTATATTTAAAGGTAGAAAAGGGAAGGGGCCTGATCCATGCTTGTCTTTATGATTCCAACCTATAAGTTTATATATTGTGTAGTTGTTAGCATGTGTTCACTCCCATTGAGAAATCTTAGGGGGCTCTCTCCAATCAAAATCTGTTTATCATCTATACACACTTATAATGCCAATGGGTCCCTTTGCTTCATCCATCTCCACACACACACACACACACACACACACATATATATATACACACACATATATTTAAATCCATATGTAGTTTTGATTATTCTTTCCAACTATAATATATCTCATCTATCCAATGTCTTTATGATTTGTGCAACTTGGGTACTTCTTAGTGGGAGGACACAAATAAGTAAACCACAACGATATATTACACAAAATGGCATCAAAAGTGACAAGAATGCAGATTCCTTTTAGAAATTGTTCATTATATGCAATGTATAAAACCACATAGCGCACGCACACACACACACACACACATGTTTTAAGTCCATAATGCCTTAATCATATAGACCAAAAGTTGAAAGTGGATCAAAGATCAGAGAGGGTATAAGTATCGAATCTATTGAACTGATTTCTTTTGATTTTTGAACAAAACACAATGAGTGAAATATAAAAATAATCTACAAATAACACCACACACACAAAATAATAAATAGAGAGATAACTTTAGCCTCACCAAGCAAATAATTAAGCAAATATAAAGATCTAAAAAGCAATGGAAAAAAAAAAAATATCAAAAATAAATAACACTTACAACACTAGTAGAAGAGTAAATAGTGACACTGAACTTCTGGTCAATCTGGTAGTCCTTGTAGAGAAGATCTACGGCACGAAACAAACAAGCAATTCATAGAAAACATTCCAAACTATCAGTCCAATCAACAAAGACAAATGAATGGGATATTCCAAAAATATAAAGGACTGTCACTTTACGTGTTCAACTAAACATTTTGAGCTAGTACAAAATTTACAAATCCATTAAATTGACAACATTTTTGGCTACTCAAGTGGATCAATAATTTTGGTGATTAGAGATTTTCTTAATTACACAATACACAAGTGTTGCATTCTATAACAAATTAACAATTACTTCAAAAAAAAAACCATTGCCCTTCTGTTTTCTTGCCCAACAAAACTTTTTAAAAATTTAGTTCCAAAAGAAGATGGATACAACTAATTAGGCCAATAATTTATAATAATACTAAATTTAGTTTGTTATGATTTTTTTTTTCCCCAAAAAAAAGAGGTTAAAACCCATTAGTATCATTTAGGTTAATGCAAACTTAGAATATTTCCAGAGCCATAAGAAGAATATTCAAAAATGAAAAAGTAGGGTTTGTGAGAAGATGACGGACCTGTTGATGGACTGACTTTGCTGCCTCTTAATTGAATTGAATTAGATGTTCACCCAATTAGACGAAGAAGAAGCCAATAAACTACAAATTATATACTACTAAGATCAATCAACAAAACCTACAAAAAGCTAACACTCAAGTTTTGTGCGTCTGAAGCATTCATGTTAATTATATGTGTATATGTGTGTATATAGTGAATGTATAAGCAGTTAGGGTTAATTAATTGGGAAACAAGGTAATTGAGGAATGAAAATTACCGGCGGTGGGATTGATGTTGAAGACGGCTGAGAGTGTTAGAGGACTCGTCGATAGGAGAGCAAAGGAATTCAGGAAAGATCATTTTTGGCTTCTGTTGTTGGGGGGCTCTTCAAGACCTCCATGTTGATACCCACCTTGAGAAAGAGAAAATCTAGGGCTACGACTTCAATTGAAAAAAAAAAAAAAAAAGATCGATTGGGGAAGACCAAACTAGTTTGAGAGAGAGGACGGAAGGAGAAGATCGAGCTAGGGCAAGAAACAGTCTTCAGGCACAAAGCGCATCGAATAAGAAATTTAGCGGAGTGATCCCTCATGGATTACATATACAGATATATACTTAATTGAAAAGAAAGAGATCAGTCGGGGAAGAACAAACCAGTTTGAGAAAGAGGATGGAAGGAGAAGGAGAAGACCGAGCTAGGGCAAGAAACAGTCTTCAGACATAGAGCACATCGAATAAGAAAATACATATACAAATATATACTTAATTGACAAAAACTATATCATTTTGATAGGGTAGTTAATTAAGGACGGTAACTTTACCGTCCCAAAAGCCTATTTTGATAATTTTTTATTAAAAAAATTATAATTTTACTTAAATAGCCTTTTGGGATGGTAAAGTTACCGTCCCAAAAGGCTATTTTAAATTTTTTTATTAAAAAAATTTATAATTTCACTAAAAAATGGCGCTAAGTATTGCCGCCATCAAATTGGAAGGCGCGTTTATTTTTTTTTGGGCTTTTAGGGACAGAATGGTTAGGACCGTCACCAAAGAGGGTATTATTAGGGACGGTTTTTATATTGTCCCTAAAGGACTGTCACCAATATCCTTAATTCTTGTAGTTTATAAGCGCCTCCTAGGCGTCCAGGTTTTCACAAACATTTTTTAAAAACCCATTTTTCCTAAAACAATTTCATTTCTTTCAAAACACTTTTCCTTTTTTCTTTCCTAATGGATGTATGAATACTTCATGCTTCTAATCATCAATTTAACAATAGAATTTTCACATATGCTTTCCAAAATAAATTTCTAAAATATGTAATTCATACTTTCATTCAACATGGATGTCACATAGTAAGCATACAAAGCATAAATTCTATTTCACATGGGCATGCTTATACACAATATACCAACTAACACATAGCCACATTTTTCATATACAACATTTAAACAATTTGCAAGAAGTCAAACTAATTAAGCATGCAAATCAACAAATTACAGGGAAATAACTTACAAAAGCATAAGAAATCACGTATTAGAGACCCCTACCTCCAAATTGAAGAAAAGCCCCAAAATCCCCAATTTAAAACCCTAATTTCAGAATCCTAAAGCTTGGCCAAATGGTGCTTGGCTCCTATCAAATTGACGGCCTTGACAAGCTCTACAACTTTGCTTCACAAGGTTCTACCAAATTTCCAACAACACAACCTAGATTTAAGCTTGAGGTTGTGTAAGAAAAAGAAAAAAAATAAATAACAGAGAGGGAGAGAGTATACTGATGGGAAGAAGAAAGAAAATGAGGGTCTGTGATGGCCCTTAGGCCATTTGATAATGTGTATTATTCATGCGGGTTCCACAACCTTTTTTTTATTATATAAAAATCTTTATTAACTTAACTTATATATATATATGCAATAACTAATTCACCACCACATAAAATCATACATTCAAATAAAATGCACAATAAAATAATGCATGAATGTAATGGACCCGTGTGGAGGGAAAAAATCCCCCCTTCTAATAATCATCATCCATGTCATCACATCACAAAATTGATTCAGATACCACAATAGCCCAATCAGCACCAAGCCCAAATCGGATCAGCCCAGTCTAGAGCAAACCCAGACAAGGCCTCGACTTCCACATCGATCGCAGACCAGAACCACTTGGCCCAGCTTCTAAGTCCAGGCAGTGACAGCCTGTCGTACCAATAACAAGATCCAAGCCCATCAGCCGAATCATCAGGACCAACCGACGTTCGGCCCAACCTTGATAAAGGGAAGTCATGTCCTGCTAGGCCAAGGAATCACAAAAGAGAGCAAGTTCTATACAAGGAAAATTCAACATAGAAAGAATTGTAGAAAGGAAAGGATTATAGATGTAAAGAAAATTATATATGGAATGAATTGGAGGACAAGTCATGCGAATCTTACCAAAATTCCACCACTGTATTTCTTATAAATAGAGGCGTAAACCTCCAATAAAAGGATCAAGCAATTCTAAGCTTCTCTTTACACTGTTCTTATTTATTTTTATTGCTTTTTGAGTGAGCTGTTTTATTTTTCTCAATCATTATTGGTTAAGCGAAATTTTACACCTACACTTTGGCGCCGTCTGTGGGAACCGTATAGAAAGATACTCCCACTTTTTGTTTTAAGTTGTTTTTGTTTCCATGGTACGGAATGTCAAACGGAGAATCAATAGCGGCAGATCAACAAATGAAGTTGATGCAAAAGATGCGAGAAGAGTTCTTGCACCAGTTCGAAGCGCTTCGTCAGGCGAATGAAGCCAGCGTAGCCCAGATTGCATTGCTTCAACAGCAGAACGACACCCTTCAAAAGGCTATGGCACAGCTGGCACCACAGCCACCGCCAGTTGACAGAGCTGCACCTCTTCCCAACCAAAACGAACCCCAGGGCAATAGGGTTCGGCCCAATGAAGTTCAGCCACCACTAGTTGACAGAGCTGCGCCCCCTCTCAATCAAACGAGCCCCAGGTCAATGGGGCTTGGATTACTGAAGTTCGGCCCACAGAAGTTCAGCAAGTCCAGAGGGCCAGATTCGAGGCGGTAGTTTCGGACAATCTCCCTCATCGCACGTAGGATGAATAGGCCGAATCCAGCCGTAAACTCACGGTATGGTCTAATGGTGTTCCAGATGGTGTAGGAGTAAAGAAGGCCTTTGACGAGAAGAGACTCTTGAGAGTTCAGATGCCTGCAAAGATGGCTAGGGAACATAAGAACTCACTCGTGAAGACTCCATTCACTGACAATGTGTAGCTAGTCGAGAGACCCAAGAAATTCATTATGCCATCTTTTACCCAGTTTGATGGTACAGGAGATCCTTCCTGGTACTTAGATCACTACGCGCAAAAGATGGCTCTGGATAATCACAATGACCCATAGATGTGAAAAGTCTTCCCTACCAGTCTAACTGGGGCTGCGCTGGAGTGGTTTAGGAATAGGCCGCACAAGTTTATTCCAGATTACGAAACTCCATGCACTATGTTCCTGGCGCAGTATTGAGGTAATAAGAAGCAAAATAAGAGTATTGCTAGCGTTTTTACTATAAGGAAATAGAAGGGCAAAACACTGCAAGACTTCTTGTCTAGATTTAATATAGAGGCTTCGAAAATAGCAGATTGCCACCTTGCTACCGCAATAGAAATATTCAATCTCGTAATGATTCAGGGAACCAAGTTTCATACGTCCTTGATTAAGTATTCTCCTCCGAACATGCAAACTTTTAATGTTAGAGCATAGATTTACATCCGACTGGAAGAGAATGTGGCTCACAAAGCTCAACATGCCACCCTCATCACGGTGGAGAACAAGCCTCAGGAAAAGGTTTCAAGTTCAAGACGCCGAAGAAGCCAGCACGTTTCGGCACCAGCCATTCAAATACCCGAAAAACGGCAAAGGATAGAAGAAAGAATCACACCCCTTCGCATAACCTTGGCCCGGTTATTTCAGGAGAACAAAATGAAGTTTGCAGCTCCTCAGCCAATACGGCAATCGTTGGTGTAAAGACCCGGATTTCTTAACCCAGTGCGTTAGTGGTGAACCGGAAGTTGACCCGATAACGAACACGAAATGCGGAAGCGAAAGAAGCCAATGACCTCAAGAGATGTACGTCATCCCTAAGGCCCCAAAATGATTCTCCATGAAGCCACAAAACTCAAATGAGCCAAGCAAATGAAGCAAGAATGCCTAACCCGAAAAGAGATGAACTAAGGGCAAAATGGTCATTTCTCACTGAAAAGGGTGCCACCGTGCACACCATTGGAAGGACAACGAAAAATGAACAAAATTAGACTGAAGAATCGTCTGATTCTGAGTCCGAGCAGAAAAGATATGAAATTCCAACACCCGATGCGAAAGTTATGAAGCAATGACTCAACATTTTCCAATATTTTCATAATAAACTTTGAAAACAAAAGTGCATAAAAAATGAGATACATGTCATTGGCCTCCGGCCTCATCTCATACATGTTAAATACATTGAAAAGAGTGCACTTACGTACACTTTACATATACGAATCAACGAATACAAGTTTAAACATATAGGGCTACAAAGAGGCATCTTATGCTAACACTTGCATAAAATAAAAACATAGAAACTGTAAACCATCTAAGGAGCAATGGAATCTTCAAATCCTAAGTCCTGTACCTGAAATATGCCCCAGTATCGTAGGGATGAGTAACATAAAGCTACTCGTGAGAGATGAGCATGTATCGACCTAGCATTTTATAATTTTATTACCTTATAGTGAAATATGTTAAAGGGGCACATGCCACCTAACGTCTATGTCAAGATGAGACCCAGGGAGCATCCTAAGCTACCTAGATCATATATATCATAATCACATTGTTCATGCCTGAATGGTGGGTCATGCCACCTAACGTCTATGTTCAAAATAAATCTATAAGGTCATTCCTAAACTACATTTGAACATAAAAACACAAATTATGATATCGATGCAATTTAACCAACAATGGAACTTCCAATACAACGCATGAAGCATGCTTTCACAAAGCTACATCTCAAGCTCAAAATAGGAAATCAAATAAGGAACAACAAGTTACAATATCATCTAGTTATCAACTTGAAATGAAATACGAAATCAAACAAAGTGGATACTCGGTCGTCACGCCGGATCAGACCGACAACATAGTTACTTTAGGGTTACTAGCCCATGGGTAACCTCCCTATGTGCGCACTAGACTGTATAGAGGGACAATCTCCCGTACTAGAACCAAGTCCTAGCCGTAGCCAAACAACAACATCCCTAAGTTTTCAAAATCAACAAATTGTGCAACAACGTATATATATCAACATGTATATACAAGATATCAACTATTTACCAAGTACAATCCAAATTTTGGAAACTTATACAATACATGCTCAAAATTCACAACTACTATGGCATGTAAGATGTCAAATACAAAGTGTGCAATTCCTTACACATAGCAACAATATATTCAATAAGGAAAAACATATTCTCATGAATATAAAAGTACCAACTATGTTATCCAATACTCAAAAGTAATCAAGTGAACATACATTAAATCCAAATCCATGATTTAAATATAGAAACAACTTCCAAAATGCAATTAAATCCATGGAGTAATAAAGTAGAATTTAATTAAACATAAATAATTAAATTCTCTAAATTCCAAGTTAATCCAAATAAACTCAATTTAATATATATTGAAAGACATGTCATGGTCATCATATATATAACATCAAATGACAAGTTAAGTGATTAAAACACTTAAAACAAAATTAATTAAGCTAATTAATTAATTTCCTCTAGATTTTTAAACAATTCCAAATGC